GGTCCTTGGACCACACTTTGAATATCAAGTCTATCAGTCATTCTATGGCTGGCTTCTCTGCTGCCCTAACTTTATTACTGGTAGCTATGCCTTGTCATTTATGGCACTGTGTCATGGGCATGCTTATAGTATTCCCTGCAGTAGCAGTTTGCTAAATGTAGTCCCGGGATCCATGAGACTGTTTCAGAGGGCCTAAAAGGTCAAAATTGTTCTCATAATAATCATGTTATTTCCCTTTTTTACTTTCATTCACTTGTAACTACACTGAGGAGTTTTCTAGAGTTTATAGATGTGACGATGTCATTGCTCTGATGACTGATACAATGTGTACTTGTGGGTTGTTTTAAAATTGTTTCAGTTTTATTTTATAATATGGCAAATGTTGATAGAAACAAAAGCCCTCTGAGGCCCTTGGTACTTTTTAAGACACTACAGCCTTTGAGAACTGCTGCCCTCTGGTTTTCTTAGGCCGTGGACACACTCACATCTAGAACTTGACCAGAGCTCTTTCCATGGCTTGAGGTGGCTCTTGGGCTGGGGTGGGCTCCTCGCTTGTCTTGGCAGTGGTAAAAGGCCTTCTCTGACACATTCAGTGGGGAGTGGGAGTAAGTATTAGAGCATCCTGTTATACCCTCTTAGGGGTAGACTTCTAGGTTCTTCATCAGATGCCCCTATCATGCCTCCCTACTTGGCCTGCACAGCCTTGTCTGACACTGGCCCGAATGGGATGTTGAGATGCCTCCTTTTAGCATTACCAGAAGGAGGTCCACACTACCCACTTGACCTGTGCTGATGCAGGGGGCGGTGAGGAAGGGACAACAGTTCTTTTAATGGTATTTGACTAGAGTGATTATTGTCGGAAAGTCTTCTTATTAAACTCCCTTTTCCTGGCCTTGTGTCTGGAGAGAACAGGCTTTCACTAAGCCTTTTGTTTCCCCTGCTCCTCTTGGTGTTTCCCCTGTTGCTGGCTTCTCAAGTCCACAGTAGTTGAGGGAAAACAAAAACTCAGTGAGTCACTGTGATGTCTTTCCTTGGATTGTGAGGCTCCTACCAATCCACCTCCTTTTTCAGAGCTGTCTTATGCTTGTTTTATAGTATATAATTTTCATGGATGTTTTACGAAGCAAGAGGAATAGGGAAAATACATCTGTTCCACCTTCCTAGAAGTGGAAGTCTCTGCTTTTTTCAACTTGCACTTTGGGTTAAAGAATTCTGAACTCCAGCCCCACTGCATATCTCTTATATTTGGTTATCTAAAAATATATGAGTAAGTATTAAAATATTTTTGGTAAAGAAAAACTAGATTTGGTAAACATAAATAGCTACTTTGGGGAGAAAAAAGATTAATTAAATAGAATTGACATGAAAGGAATCACGACCACAGTTGTGGATTGTACAAAACAAGGTAATTTTGTGTAATAAATTTGAAGCTTTAAATTATCAGTGTTCTGATAATTATTCTGAAAATAAAATTACAGCAGACTTGACCTAGAAATCTATAGTCAACCTGTAATAACCAGTATACAAAAAAAGAAATTGAAATGATTTCATAAAATTAAAATAGTCTCCACTATCTAATAGCTTTAAGGTTAGTTCTTTTTCACTTTCAAAAAACCTTTCAGTGCCATGCCATAGTGGTGATTGCAGAGCATTAAAAGATAGAAAAGCTATCCAGTTCACTTAATGAAGCATGCATTGTCTAATAAAACTTGTCAGAGATAGTTCCCCAAAATAGTTCCAACAAGGTGTGTATAGATATTTGATATTTCTGCAAAATTGCTTCTGTCAGTATAAGTTTGGAGGGCAGTGGATAAAAATTAAGCACTGTATGTATCTCTCCCCTGCCCTCCTCCTCTCTGTCATTTGTGCTTTAGAGTCCTTATTCTCCCATTTTCATTTAATTTCATGCTGTCTTTGAAACATACTCCACTGGCCCCCCAGCCTCCCAGCACACACCTACATGTCTGACTGGCTATCTTGCAATCCATACATCATCAAGTTGAAGTATCCTTTTTCCTACTGAGGACTGAGTTGAATCTTTCAGTCCGAATTCATGAGAGAGAAAATCTCATTTAATCCCCTGCTGCCCAGATACCTGGTACAAACCTGTGATATGGTTCTGGGGGCACCTAAACGGAATGAAAGTAGAGCTATTTTTCACATTCTTGTATCTTAGAAATTTTTTGTTACCTATGCTGTGGATGTTTCTCGTTATCAGCAAACAGTTATTAGGTACCTATCACTTTAGGGCTCTAAGATAATTTTTAAGAGAAAAATGAAAGCAACAGTTCAAGTAATCATACCATTTCATTTCAATGAAAGACCATCAACTTGGACTTAAGGTATGGCATTTATGTTTAGAAAAGCTTGATGATGTCAATTTTCTAGGGACAAATTTTAAGGAATATTGGTAAAAACAAAAAAACTAGACAATTAGCCTGGGTTATTTCTTAGAGAACAGTAACACTGTTCTCAGTGACACTCCTCAGTTCAGTTGCTCAGTCGTGTCCGACTCTTTGCAACTCCATGGATTGCAGCACGCCACGCCTTCCTGTTTATCACCAACTCCTGGAGTTTACTCAGACTCCTGTCCATTGAGTCAGTGATGCCATCCAACCATCTCATCCTCTGTTGTCCCCTTCTCCTCCTGCCTTCAGTCTTTCCCAGCATCAGGGTCTTTTCCAGTGAGTCAGCTCTTCACATCAAGCACCCAAAGTGTTGGAGTTTGAGCCTCAGCATCAGTCCTTCCAGTGAATATTCAGGACTGACTTCCTTTAGGATGGACTTGATCTTTTTGCAGTCCGTGGGACTCTCAAGAGTCTTCTCCAACACCACAGTTCAAAAGCATCAATTCTTTGGTGCTCAGCTTTCTTTACAGTCCAACTCTCACATCCATACATGACCACTGGAAAAACCAGAGCCTTGACTAGACGGACCTTTGTTGGCAAAGTAATATCTCTGCTTTTTAATATGCTATCTAGGTTGGTCATAACTTTTCTTCCACGGAGTAAGCGTCTTTTAATTTCATGGCTGCAGTCACCATCTGCAGTGATTTTGGAGCCCCCGAAAATAAAGTCTGTCACTGTTTCCATTGCTTCCCCATCTGTTTGCCATGAAGTGATGGGACCAGATGCCATGATCTTAGTTTTCTGAATGTTGAATTTTAAGCCAACTCTTTCACTCTCCTCTCTCACTTTCATCAAGAGGCTCTTTAGTTCTTTGCTTTCTGCCATAAGGGTGGTGTCATCTGCATATCTGAGGTTACTGATGTTTCTCCTGGCAACCTTGATTCCCGCTTATGCTTCATCCAGCCCAGCGTTTCTAATGATGTACTCCGCATATAAGTTAAATAAGCATGGTGACAATATACAGCCTTGAAATACTCCTTTCCTCATTTGGAACCAGTCTGTTCCATGTCCAGTTCTAACTGTTGCTTCTTGACTTGAATACAGATTCTCAGGAGGCAGGTCGGATGGTCTGGTATTCCCATCGCTGTAAAAATTTTCCACAGTTTGTTGAGATCCACACAGTCAAAGGCTTTGGCATAGTCAATAAAGCAGAAGTAGATGTGTTTCTGGAACTCTTTATTTTTTGATGATCCAGCAGATGTTGGCAATTTGATCTCTGGTTCCTCTGCTTTTTCTAAAACCAGCTTGAACATCTGAAAGTTCACGGTTCGCATATTGCCGAATCCTGGCTTGGAGAATTTTGAGCATTACTTTACTAGAGTGTGAGATGAGTACAATTGTGCGGTTGTTTGAGCATTCTTTGGCATTGCCTTTCTTTAAAATTGGAGTGAAAACTGACCTTTTCCAGTCCTATGGCCACTGCTGAGATTTCCAAATTTGCTGGCATGTTGAGTGAAGCACTTTCACAGCATCATCTTTTAGGATTTGAAATAGCTCAACTGGAATTCCATCACCTCCACTAGCTTTGTTCTTAGTGGTGTTTCGTAAGGCCCTCTTGACTCCTATTCCAGGATGTCTAGCTCTAGGTGAGTGATCACATCATTGTGATTATCTGGGTCATGAAGATCTTTTTCATATAGTTCTTCTGTGTATTCTTGCCACCTCTTCTTAATATCTTCTGCTTCTGTTAGGTCCATACCATTTCTGTCCTTTATTGAGCCTATCTTTGCATGAAATTTTCCCTTGGTATCTCTAATTTTCTTGAAGAGATCTCTTGTCTTTCCCATTCTATTGTTTTCCTCTATTTTTTATATTGATCACTAAGGAAGGCTTTTTTATCTCTCCTTACTATTCTTTGGAACTCTGCATTCAAATGGGTATATCTTTCCTTTTCTCCTTTGCCTTTCACTTCTCTTCTAGTGCTAGGCAAAAGTGAAAGTGAAAGTCACTTTTCATGTCAGACTCTTTGAGACTCCATGGACTATACAGTCCACTACAAATATGCTTCTTTGGGGAAATAATATTAGTTTTATATGATTCAGTATTACTTTATAACATAAAAATTGGATGATTGCTCTGGAGTAAGTTGAGAAGGCATTGTACCATCTCATCAATAGATCCACAGTTTCACAAATAAAACAGTTTACCTTTTGTGAGCTTAGGAGTTAAAATACTTAGATAGGTCTGTATCAATAAAAACCTCCATCATGAATCCCTCTGAAGTAAAATCAACTAGTGTAGCATATGCGGATTTTTTAAAACAGGAATTTATTATCTACTTCTATAGTGAGAAGTCTGACATGTCTGTCTGGGCTAAAATCAAGAGAACAGAAGGGATATGTTCCTTTCCAGAGGTTCTTGAATGTTTGTGTCCTTACCTTTCCACCTTCTTGTGACCACTCGCATTCTTTGGCTCATGGCCCCCTCCCTCCACACAGATGATAATTTTACTTAAAGTGAAAATGGATGGATATAGTTCTAAAGCTTAAGCTTAGTCTAATTTTGTTAAGTTTTATAATATATATATGGAACAGTTGTATGGATGCTTTACATGATTTTCTTCATTGTCACTGTAATATTTGTTTAGACCTGATGGCCAAAAGAAAGGAAGAAAATTTTTTCTCTCCTGAAAATGCCAAAAGACCAAGACAAGAAGAATTGGACGATTTTGATAAAGATGAATGTGATGAAGATGAATGTGCAGTTTCTTTCACTAATGGTACCTCTACTTTGGTGAGTGCAAAATTATAAAATTAATATCTTTTGATTGGCCTGTTTCTCCTCTCTGTTTTATATATCGTATTCTTAATTCAGTATCTGAAGCTGGGTCTCTAGCTGCAGAGGAAAAGTCACATGAATTTTTAAAAGTGAGGTAAAAATTACCTAATTTTGAAGTTCATGTTAATTTTTAGAAAAAATTAGTAGAGAAAACAATAAAACAAAGAGGTAGTTCTTTGGAAAGGTCAGTAAAACTTACAAACCTCTACTAAGATTGAGGAAAGGGAAAAAGGAGAGAAAACGCAAACTACCAATATCAGGAATGAAACAGTGGATTTGACCATAGACTCTGCAAACAACAAAAGGATAATAATGGAGACTTCCCTGGTGGTCCAGTAGTTAAGAATCTACCTTCCAGTGCTGAGGATGTGCGTTGGATCCCTGGTCTGGGAAGATCCCACACGTGGCGAGGCAAATAAGCTTGTACGCCACAGTTACTGAAACTTGCGCTCTCTGTAGAGCCCGTGCTCCACGACACAGAAGCCATCTCAGTGAAAAGCCCTCACCCCAGAATTGGAGAGTAGCCCCCGGCTCACTGCAACTAAATAAAAGCCTGGCACAGCAGTGAAGACCCAGCGTGCCCAAAAGTAAATTCTAAAAGAAAGGACGATGAGGGAAGATACCCTGGAGAAGGGATGGGCTACCCACTCCAGTATTCTTGGGCTTCCCCGGTGACTCAGAGCTAAAGAATCTGCCTGCAATGTGAGATACCTGGGTTTGATCCCTGGGTTGTGAAGATCCCCTGGAGGAGGGCATGGCAACGCTCTCCGATATTCTTGCCTGGAGAATCCCCATGGACAGAAGAGCCTGGTGGGCTACAGTGCATGGTGTTGCAAAGAATCAGACGTGACAGAGTGGCTAAGCATAGCACAGCATCACAGAGAAAAGAAGATTTATTTTCCCCCAAAAACCTGTACATGAGTGTTCACAGCAGCTTTATTTGTAATACTCAAAAACTGACAGTCCAGATGTCATACAGTGAGTGAGTAGTTAAACCTGCTATAGTACGTCTCTACCCTGAGATACTATTTAGCAGTAGAAAACAGTGAACTGTGCACATAGACAACAAAAGACAGTTAAGCTGAGTGAAGGAAAAAATGCTTCTTGAAAGGTTACATTCTGTGTGATTCCATGTACATAACATTCTTGAAATAACAGTGTCTCAGAAATGGAGAACAGACCAGTGGGCCAGGGTAAAGGAGGAGTGGGTGGGGAGGAATGAGGATGGGGCTCTAGAGGGACAATGTGATAGGTACTTGTGATGGGAATATTTTCTGAGTCATTATCAAAATGAGCACCCTGGTATGATATTGTACCATAGTTTTCAAGATTGTACCTTTGGCAGAACCTGGGTAAAGGAGTCACAGGATTTCTCTGTATTATTTTTTATAACTACATCTAAGTCTTCAATTAGATCAAAATAAACTGAAGACGTTTAAAAAATCTTCAACCATGATTTCTACAGAATTCTGCTTGTTTTTGTTGCTACATCAAGTCTGACTCTTTGTGACCCCATGGCCTGTAGCCTGCCATGCTCCTCTGTCCATGGGATTTCCCAGGCAACACTGGAGTGGTTTCCTATTTCCTGCTCCAGGAGATCTTCCCGACCCAGGGATCGAACTCGTGTCTCCTGCATTGGGAGACAGGTTCTTTACCATTGAGCCAGCTGGGAAGCCACTCATATAAGGATGTAAATTTTTCCTGCTTTTTAATAATCTGCTGTTTAGTGATAGAGAGCCAGAGATTTTTATAATAAATAACTTAAAACTTGGAGACATTAAACGTTCTTCAAAAACATTTGGAAGGTTTGGTAAAATATGGTTGATTTATTTTCATATTTTAACTACAAAGTATGACCACTGTGTGTCAAACTCTTGGTTAAAACATATGAAACTGTCTCTAATTTAATTATGACATATTCACAGTATGGAAATTATAATTCTGTGCTCTCTCTGCAGTGGACACATTTAGCAATGTCTGAATATAATTTTTGGTTGTCACACCTGGGGTTGGAGGAGAGAGTGCTGATGGGTAGTGGCTAGAGATGCTGTTAAATATCCCACAATGCCGAAGATAGCCTCTCTCCAACAGAAAGTGATCTGACTCAAGATGTTGGTTTTGTCCATATTAAAAAAGAACCCTGTGAAATACTTGTTAGAACCTATAAGGACTTAAAATGAACAGTTAATCATATGAATTAATGTCATTTGCTCATTGATTGAAGGCCTCCCTAGTGGCTCAGTGGTAAAGAACCTACCTGCCAATGCAGGAGATGCAGGTTCAATCCCTTGGTCAGGAAGATTCGTTGGAGAAGGAAATGGCAAACTACTTCAGTATTATTGCATGGACAGAAGAGCCTGGCGGGCTACAGTTCATGGGGTCTCAAAGAGTTGGACACAACTTAGTGACTGAGCATGCACTTACTCATTGATTGAAATTAACATTTAAAATTATACTTTCTGTAACTTTTTTCATTGGTAGCACTGCTGATCTTTCTCCTGCTAACAAACAGTTGGATGATTGTAGTGATTGAATTAGATTGATTGTTTTCTCTCATTTTTTAAAATTCATAGACAGCAGCAGAAGTTGGAATAATTGAGAGTATTCAGCTCAAAAACTTCATGTGTCATTCGATGCTTGGACCCTTTAAGTTTGGTTCTAATGTCAACTTTGTTGTTGGCAATAATGGAAGTAAGTGCTTTTGCCTTTCTTCTTATTTGACTTTGAGCAGTACATTGAAGTCAGAATGCTTTAACTCTTTAAAATAGGTGCCTGTTAATGCTGATACAGCTAAGTTTTAGATCTCTGGTTTGTGGTCATGAATTTTTCAGTATTTGCTGCCAGTCTACACTTTAAGAAAATAATGAGTTAACTCTGGGTTCATTATGCAAGAGGTATAAACCTTTCCTTCATGTTATTTTGCCACTTTATTTTTTTTAATTGAAAGATAATTGCTGTAAAGAATTTTGTGGTTTTCAATCAAACATCAACAAGAATCAGCCATAGGTACACCCATGTCCCCTCCCCGCCCTCCCAAACCTCCCTTCCAACTCCCTCCCAATCCCACCCTTCTAGAATGCATAGTGATTTGAATCTATGTACCTTGGAATTCATACCATAGAAGAGTGGGCAAGCTATCCTCATTGCTGTTGAGGCAGTCCTGTGTCTTGTATCTATTAAATGTTGTTAACAGCATGAATGAAGTGCCATGGGAATCCAAACAAGAAAGAAATGAATTCTCACTCATGTGGCCAATAAAGCTTTAAGAAGAGATGGTATTTGTGGTGGTATTTGAATAAAAATGAAAGATCTTTTAGATGTTCTTGGGGAAGAAGTAGCTGAGACACAGAGGAAGACATAGGAGTTGGAAAGACGAGTTAGGCAGCCTTTGTGGTGAACCTGCTGGGTGTGACGTGTTGGCTGCTTGACTGAGCCAGTAGAGAGGGAGAGGAACTTGCCAGGGTCCATGGATGGTGGTCATGCTAGAACATGAAACTAGTGCAGATAGCTCTGTGGTCTGTTTACTTGTTCTTTGTTTTCCCTCCTCTGTTAGTTCAAGAGAAAAGTGTTTTTAGAAGGAGAGAATAGACAAAGGACCAGAGCTATGGGGAGGTCAAACAGGACAAGTAGTAAAGACAGACTGGTAGGTTCTGCAGTTAGAGCTTAACATTTGAAATAGTGAAGGTATTAATCTAATGAAGGTGGTGGAAGCTGTGAATTTGGAAATGAAGAAAAAGGAGAGAGTTAGGATAGGAACTCGAAAGGCATCCTAGGAGCTAAACTGGGTTAACTGTTGTATACTTGGTTTAATTTAGAGTATGTTGTGAAAGATGATGAGTTGATAAGAGTTGATCTCTTTGGTTGATTGTGGAGTTGAGAAACTGCTTATCATATTCTGGGTAACTGTTACAGATTTTGCTATGTTAGCTTGTGATATTTTTTGTCTGTTAAGAGTAAAAAAGTTTACTCTTTAAAGAGTGAGCAAATGAATAATACTTAAATTAGGAATAATAATTGTCAAAATATCGCAGAATATAAAAACATCTGTCTATACGACTGGTAGTTTTTCGTATTTAAACTCATTTATTCAGCAAATATGTGAGTGCCTATCATGGGCTGATATTGGAGATAGCCACTGAGTTAAGGTCCTATCCCTGTGGAGCTTGCAATCAGGGTCAAAAATAGTTTCGGGCTTCTGAGAATTTATGGAAAAAGAAAACTCCTAATTTTAATTAAATTAGGATGTAAGAAACATTAGATGAGTTAAATATATTTGGGTTAATTAGAAAGAATAGTTCATTTAATAGCTGATAGGTCAAGATGATACTGTGAACTTTAGGTTGGAAAATTATCAACCGCTTTTTTCCATTTATGACAAAAATTTGATTCCTGAAATGTACTGATTTTTTTTTCTAATAGCAGCAGCTAAATATTTCATGATATATACAACTTTTTGTTTGTTTTTGGCACTGGAAGAAAACCATAATTGAAGTGTAACACTTCCTTTCAGGGTTAGACTATTTCACATCTCTGAGAAATATTTTTACATCAAATTGTAGGAATCAGACTTCTCCCTCTCTAATGCATGTGATTTCCTCAACACCTGTTCTTTAGGTGGCAAGAGTGCGGTGCTCACAGCTCTCATAGTTGGTCTTGGTGGAAAAGCTGTCACTACTAATCGAGGATCTTCTTTAAAAGGTTTTGTGAAGGATGGACAGAAGTAAGTGTTGGCTTTCTACATGTATCTTTCAGTTCTTCAATAAGAAGCAGCTTTAGATTCTCAATTCATGTAGACATTGTTGGAAATGAATTGGCTTCCCGGAAGTGGAGCTGAGGCGTCAGGTGTCATATCTTTTCATTGCTTTCTCTTCCCCAGTCTTGCCGGCATAGCCCACTGTTGCCTCTTTCTCTCTCCTGACAGAATGCTTGTGTCACTTAATGTCATGCACCTCCCCCCGACACTTGTTTCTTTTACCTTTCTGGAGGAACGAGCAACGATAAATTTGCATACTTCCATTTAAAGGTATATTTATGAACATGGGACTTTAAATGATTTTGGCCGCATAGCATGCAGGATCTTACAGTGACCAGGGACCGAGCTGCTGCCCCTGCAGGAAGTGCAGAGCCTTACCCGCTGGCCCACCAGGACTTCTCTGGCTCTTGTCCCGAATCCAGGCTCAGCGAGTCCATGCTGATACCATGTGAGCCAGAGCAGAGTTAGTAAACGGTCAAGGTGTCCCTCAACAGAATTCTGCCTCCAGCTCTTAAGAATTCCAAAAAAAGTATTCCATTCTGTCCCATTTTGTGAATTTGGTGTGAGGACCACAATTACATGCCCCTTTGTGGTTCATCCTGACCCTTGTGAATGGTTATATAGCAGCCATGTGTGACTTTGTGTTTGTGTTTCTTTTTGTTACATTCACCGTCACCTAACTGTATATTAATTGCCTGGTTTGCGCCATCATAGACTTGTGGCCTTTTGTCCATTAGGAGCTCTTGTCAGGCTGATCTCCTTATTCTTTTTAGTTCAGTCTCAGAAAACCCTGAAGGGATCCTCATTTCTCTTATGAACTGGACGTCCCAGACTCTCATCCCAGCTCCCACAGTGAGGCGGTTCCACTGCTTGTTTCTCCCTCACATACTCGGTGCCCAAGGACTTCTGGAACTTTGATAATTGACACTGATTGTCTTTTTTTCCCCCTTGTAAATGACTTTCCTTCTGCTCAGTGTTATATCCTTTTAACTTCCCCCATTTTCCATTTGATTTCTAAAAAACAATGAGGATGTGATGTGGATCAGGATTGCAGGTTTCTTATGTATTTCTCAGAAACCTTAGGAATCTTACCCCTAAGCCAAGGTTCTAAGTGGACTTACGAGGAGGGAGGAAAAGATGCACAGAGAATTGTTTCCCATGCTTTATGGCCTTGGAAAGGAACTACTTGGTAACGATTCTCCAGCATGTTTTCTGTCTTTCCTGACCTTATTTGGGCTCCAGTCTGGCAAGGTCTTCTCTCTCACAGTCTGCAAAGAAAATTATGTCTGAAGTCAAAAGTTAGCTATTTGAACACTTCAAAGTTAATGGTCTCAACTCTTTCAGTTCAAGTTATCCAAGTATTTACCTAGTCTACCTAGCTGGATAACCCATTGATCTTTCAAATAGAAATCTCAGGAAGAAGTTTTTTATTCTATAACATTAAATGTTTTATGTCTCAAAGATTAAAAAATTTTTTTCCATATGGGAAGTACCTGGACCAAAGCAGAAGCTTCTTTCTGAGATTTGTCCTTGGAATGCCATTAAAAAAAGAAAGATGGATAAAGGCTAGCTTGCACAAATCACCACCACTGAAGGACACAGCTGCCTGTAGATAGGAACATTAAAATATTTTAAACAGAGGTAATAACAGCCAAAAGCTTTAACCTGAGCTCAGTCTGCTTTGTACTGACCTTGTCTGAAGAAGTAGCTAAAAACAGCTTTTCCAAACCCATTCCTACTCCTCTTGTCCTTGTCTTCCTCATTTAAAACACTCGGTGGCTATAAAATTTCTCTAATTTTATCATCTCTGATTCTGTCATCACTTTTTTTTTTTATAGAATTAGCTCACTGAGTATTTTCTTTTTGTTTTGTGTCTAAAATCTGTGTGGCTGTTTCATCTTTCCTGAGGGCGCCTGTCAGCCAGGCACAGGTTTAAGGTGGTCCTCAGGACTCCCCCTCCCCCCATCTGAAATGGCCCACTTATGACACTTGAGCTCCAGGCTGTCTTTGTAGAGGGTCCCAACCCTCCTTAGAGAGCTTGTCTAAGATGGTTAGGAGAAGCCAGAGGACTGACTGTGCCTAGAGGCTCTTTACCTGGGGCTCCGCCCTCTGATCATCCAGCAAGGCTTTGCTGTAGTATGGATGTGTCTCCTCCTCTCTGAGAGACCAAAGCCTCAGGCCCACAGCCCTTCACATTCTTCAGCAGGTTCAGGTCACTGTTCCCTCCCTCAGCCTCCCTAATCCTAGTCCTGGGATCTAGGCACCAGGCCGGTTTTTGACATCAGCTGTAGCATTGGGGGAGTGGGTTATGGAAGGATACTACACATGCCTGATTGATTTAGTCAGATTTACAGAACGTACTGCAGATTAGCTACCCACCCAGAGAAGGAACAGGTGCGTCCTTATTCTACATGGCTTTTTCCTTGTTCCTTGTGCCTCGTTTCCGTCAGTAGGCAGTGCTGCAGTCACCTCTTTACAGATAAGGGTCTCCTGAAGCCAAGAAAGAAGCCACAGCCCCCCGGAGAAGGAAATGGCAACCCACTCCTGTACTCTTACCTGGGAAATCCCACGGGCAGAGGAACCTGACAGGCTACAGTCCATGGGGTCGCAAAAGACTTGGACACCACTTAGTGACTAAACAACCACCACCCTACATTCTCTGCACTTCAGTTGCGTTTTCCTTCGGGGACCCCCAATATGCACTGCCCTTTTCCACTGTAAGGAGCATTAGAGGTCCTGTGCTCTTTCTACGTCATCTCCCTTCACGGCCCACCTCCCTGGAGATCGTAAGCCACACTTCCCAAGTCTGTAACCCTTATATGTGCAGGTGTATAAGATAAGACATATATGTGGAAAAGCACACAAAAGTAAAAAAAAAAAAACAAAAACTTCAGGTTTCCCTTCTTACCAGGACCAGAGATGTGTGCCATCTGTTGTTCTGGGTTTGAAAATGGTAGCCTCTTATATTTTTCCTCTTTCACAGTTGTTCCTTTCTTTTTCTGTTTTAAGCCACTTGCATCTTTTCTTATCATTGGGGATTTTCTGTGACTTTTATTTATTAATTACTTTCACAGTCCCTCATTGCTACAGCATCAAAAGGTAAATGTCTAATAAAGCTGTATTTGCCTTGTTCTCATATTTTATGGCCACATTGTGTCCCATTCTCTTCTGCCCACTTTGACGTGGGCCTTCTCTCCTTCATCCCATGTATAGGACTTGCTCAGCTAGTTTTTAGTTATTTTTATCCTGAGAAAGTTGTTCGATGCATAGCTATAGATTCAGTGTATTGTAGAAGGTCAGTTTGGGATCCTGTCGCCATCTTGAACCGAAACCCCTAGAAATTCTAATTTTGACAAGAACTTCAGTGACTTCTTTGTGGGAGTGACATCTTATATGAGAAAATAGTTTTTGTCAAAAACAGCTTTATTGTGGCATTGTCATAAATTTCACTTGTCAAAAGTGTATAGTTTGAGTTTTAAATATGTAAAAATCTTCATGACGATAAATAAAAAGTATGTTTTGGATCCAAAAAAAAAAAAATGAAGCCACAGCCTTAGGGCGGCACTGAGTATGCGTGTGTGTGTGCATGTGCTGTCATTCTGGAGGAGCTCTGTGATCATTCCTCTTCTCACTGAAGGGTCTCTCTAGTGACAGACACTGGGCTCTATGTCTCTTGACCCAAATTTCACACCAGCCACGTTAGTAGGTGGGGAGACAGCAGTCAGTCCCAGCGCAGGTATCCTATCTCCTTATATAGGTTTTCTCAGCAGTTGTTATGAGGGGTATTTTTTGTAAGCCTTAAATGTTTTTAAATAACTTGCCTTTCTTGTGAATTCATATGGTAGTAGGATATCAGTGTCTCCGAAGCTCTCACAATAGTAAAAATAGCTTTCAAATGCAAGGAGTGGCTCAGAAGGAAAATAAAGTTGGTGTCTGCAAATCAAAGGAGGTGTCACTTTATTTTTAAAAATGTTTTCATGAGGTACAAATATTTTTGGCTCCATGTTGTAAACCAGATCCCCTTCCCCTATCATAGACTTTAGCTGATAGTTTTCAACCTTGACTCTTCATTAGAATCACCGCAGAGAGCTTTAAAAGCTCATTAATTAGAACTTTTCAGGAGCATGTCCGTCTTAGTTAGATATTGCTATTTCTGATTAAAAACGTACACACCCCAAGCCACTCAGGGTATCTCGAGAAGAGATAGATCATAAAGATGCAGGATATATATCTTGGAAGCTGCAGGGAGGAAGCATAATTGGATCAGGAGTGACTGGAACTGAGAGACTCAGAACCGAAGATCATTGCTCTCTGGGTCTTTCTGTTCTGTGTCTCTGGCTCTTTGTGTCTTTGTTTCTGGATCGGTGTCTTCCTTCCTTCGTCAGGCTTATGCTTACAGCTCTTCATTTCCACTACCTCCCTCTGTCTCCTCAATGGCTGCACTTTTTTTAAACGGTTTATTTTGTATTGAAGTATAGCTGATTAACGATGTTGTGGTAGTTTCAGGTGTGCAGCAGAGTGACTCAGCCATGCATATACGTGTCCATTCTCCCCAAACTCCTCTGCCGTCCAGGTGCCACATCACGTTGAGCAGAATTCCCCATGCTGTACCGCAGGTCCTTGTTGGTTATCCATTTTAAATATAGCAGTGTCTACATGTCCCTTACTATCCCTTTCCCCCACCCTTCCCCCCTGGTAACTATAAATTCGTTCTCTCAACCTTGTTATCTTTTCTTACTGCTATGTGGAAAAAGTTCTAACTTATCCTTTCTGTGAGAGTGTAATCCTTTGTGGGGAGAGGAAGGGTCCAGACTTCAGACAGGTGTTGCATTTTAAATCCAAGCCTCTACAAGCCGGACATTCACCTGTCACCATACTTATACATGTATCTGTTCTCCCCCAAACTCCCCTCCCATCCAGGCTGAGTGGCCTTCTCTTCTGTGCTGTGCCCTCCTGCCTTCCCTCTTCTGACAGGCGTGCAGTTGTGTGACTTTCTTTGCTATTCTGTATCTTTGTTGAGGCATGTGTGTGGGGCTGCCCATGAAAGGACCTGCTCTTGGTTCTCTCTGTCTCTGATTCATGGCCAGTATCTATGATTCAGTGTCGCTGTCTGTCCGGGTGGTTTCCCAAGAGCTTAACTGTTCTGTGTTCTGCTTTCCTCTGTAGTCTCTGCAGACTTTGTACTTGTCAGAACATAATGCCCCAAATTGATCTCTCTAGTCCCAGAGCCCTCAGAACTTTGTAGCTCCAAGGAATTACCACCTTAACACTTGATTGAGTCTGAATTTGAGTTTGTTTTTAAAACTTGTGATTTTGAAATAATTTTAGATTTACACAAGTGTTGCAAAGCTAGTACAGTTTCCTTATAGCCTTTACCCAATTTTCTTTAATGTTGACATCTTGTATACCTGAGGTACTTTTATCAAAGTACTATTTGGTTAACATTGGTATATTATTATTAACTAAACTACAGACTGTACTTGAGCTTTACTAATTTTTCTTAATTTGGATTTTAAACAAGAGTATCTGGCTCAGTTATCATCCACTTTCTATATGCTTCCCAAGTGGCGCCGTGGTAAACAATCTTCCTGTCAATGCAAGAGACGTGAGTTCAATTCCTGGGTTGGGAATATCCCCTGAAAGAGGAAATGGCAACCCACTCCAGTATTCTTGCCTGGGAAATCCCATGAACAGAGGAGCCTGTCAGGCTACAGGCCATGGGGTCACAGAGTCGGACACGACTGAGCGACTGAATCCACACACACATTAGCATTGTCTTCTGTATTTAGCTCAGTCCCTGTGGGGAGGGTTGGGGGCTGCTGAGCCCTCTGTCTGTGAGAGCCCTTCCCTGCACACATGTACGGAGGAACAAGAACTGAGCTCCTTCAGGATGTCTACTCATTACCAGTTCACACTGAAATTCATCTTGAGTATTTTTTACCTGTATTTCCTGCAAATGGGAGCAGTTTTGGAGTTTGACTACAAATTCATGAAAACAAGTTTGTTTTGTTTAATATAGCCTTTAATTACCAAAAGCAGATTTACATTAAAGGACTTGAGCATTTTTGGCAGATACTCATTTTAACCAGAGAAAATATTATCTGCTTTTATGTTTGAGGAAATTATATTTATTTATTAATGCCCTTCATTAACTTTTTAAAAAGTTTTCTCCCAAGGCTTATTTTAACAGAATTTAGAGTAGAAAAACAAGAGATTGATTCTCTCCTCCCCCATAATATGTTAAAATATACATGGCTATAAATGCTTCATACTTCTTTTAAACTTTGAAAATAATTCTTTTGTAATACTAATAAAACCTTAGGAAATTGTGAGATTTAGTTTACCTTTCTTGATATCAAATACTTTAGCCTTTTTTGTTGTTGTGTAAGTAATAGAAGAATCAAAATTTTTTCCTTTAATTCTCATCTTCTTAGAAAATATATTATTTCACCTTAATTCTTACTTTATCATTCTTAAGACGCTTGCTGTCACGATGATGCTTTATTATGTGATTTAGCATGATATTGATATGCAATATTATTATCCAGGCTGTATAATATTGATTATACATTGCAGATAGGAAAATATGTAACTTATCTACATGACATGAAGCAACCAAAACTTAAATGAATTTTGTGAAAATGTATTTCTGTTATGGATAGCATAGTCAGTTATTTTGTTATAAAGTTTCTCTTCTCATCTTTGTTGTGTGGTATCTTTAGTATTATATTCTGTAGTAGCCTCTCAGCCATCAACTGCTGGTGTAAAGCTACTTTTCCAATGAATAAGCCAAATCACTGGAGCTTTTGAAAATTAAGTTGCTGTTACAGTTGCCCTGTACCTTCCTGTGACTTAGTTTAACCTTATTGCTTTAGCTCAGCAGATATCTCAATAACATTAAGGAACAGAGGGGATGATGCCTACAGAGGAAATGTGTACGGCGACTCTATAGTTGTACAACAGCACATCAGCATGGATGGAAGTCGATCTTACAAACTGAAGAGTGCAACAGGTTTGTTATGAATTTCTCTTTTATTTTGGAAAACTCGTAGTAAACATCCAATTAAAAAGAGGTCATTGATTGTGCTGGTATCACTGGAAGGATACGTCTCATCTCTTGAAACTTCCTTCTTGTAAGAGGATTGGTTGGTTGCATATATGTGTATATGCACATGGATGTATACATACATACATACATATATTACACATTGTTATATTACCACAAGGGATTCTACAGCAAAAGTGTGACTAGCAGAATTTGGGTCAGTTTGAAACAGTCTGTGATATGCCATTTTGACCTTCTTTCACCCCTATAGTTACTATCACATGTGGAAAGAGAAGATTAGTGAAAGGTGGAAAAGGGCAAAAAGGAAGAGGAGGGGGGTATAAAGAGATAGATGAGAAGAAAAAAGCAAATGTTCCGCTCTGAAAAGTAGAGAAACACTGTCACTACAACTTTGCTTCTGCCTCCTCTGTACTTGTGTCATGACGTGTGTTGCCTCAGTTCGTTCAGATGTGTGTGCATTCAACATACCTTTCTTAATGACTTCAGGAAAAGTTTATATTTATAAATAATTGCTCATTTTAAAAAATGTATTACTGCCCTAAAAACAGTCTGATCATTTTGTGTTTCTCATAACCAGGTGCCGTGGTTTCTACTAAGAAAGAAGAACTGATTGGAATTCTTGATCATTTTAACATTCAGGTAATTGCTAAATCTGTGTTTCAGATTAATAAATACAGCTAGCTACTTTTTTGTGTGATTTCATTTGTGGTATAGAAAGAATTTAAATGGCCTCATATGAGTAAATTGACCACAGGAAAAATATATTTAACTGTTGTTAGTAAGCTTCCTTAAAACTTCCTAATTCATCAGGACCTTCAAGACATAACATCTTTAATTTGATAGAACACATAAGAATATCTTGTCTATAGAAATATATGCTAAAATTTATGTTAATAAAATGTATATAAGAAAGTTTCTTGGCTTTCTGTTGTCCAAGTCAGAATAGCTTCATAGTTTCCTAAACTTGGTTGCTAAGTTTCTTTTGTAGAAAGGAAATTTATTCTAGAAGATAAAGAAAACATTTCTTTATATATTTTGGAGTTATTTCATCATAACTACAGGTGGATAAGATTTGAGTCCATTCTGCTAAGATACTTTGAGCACTTGAAAACGGGGCTCAGATAGTCCAGTAACGTTAGCCCTGGAATTATCTTGGGGGGAATATCTAATCCAGACCCTTTATTCTGTAGATAAGAAACTGGGAGCCAGCAAGGATGAATGTGCACTTATAGTTGTCTAGGCGTGGTTACTGGCAGAGCCTGTGATGGGCCCCAGATACTCTGTTCAGTTCTGATGCTCTATCCACTGTATCACCTTGCCTTACTCCAGGATTAAGAACACCAAGATTAGACACCAAGGGGAAAAAGCAATTATGAGTTTGGGTCTCTTTCCCAGTTTGTTTTAGAACAAGTTGTCCAGAAAAACTTCCTGTAATGATAGAATGATAGATATTGGGTATTATTGATGTCTAGTGGGGTGGCCACTAGCTGCGCAAGCATCTGAAATGTGTGACTGAGAAATCATGTTTTATTAAAGTCTTTTACTTAAGCTGAATGTAGCTAGCAGCTTGCATATTGGGCAGCACAGGTTCAGAAAAATAATTAATGAAATCTGAGGGGAAGCAGATACAGCGTAGAACACAGGCCAGTTTGTTAACCAAAGTCAGCAGAACCGAAAGTTAGAGTTTATGGAATCACAGGTGTTGGGAGAAGCTTGAAGAGCATCCAGTGTCATAACACACTGCATGCTCACATTGTGTGCACTCTCCACCAGGTGTTCCTTCAGCAGGTGCCTGAGTGGGCAGTGGTGGGAAAATGATCTCTGCCTGAGGCTGCTGACCCCTGTAGTTGACTGTATTTATTAAAAAGTTGTTAATGGGAAAAGCTGACTCAAGTCTCTTTCTCTTAAGTGCCCACTTCCTTGGGGAATATAAAAACATGTTTCTTTTCTTCTGAAATATTTGAAAATATCATAACTGCTTTAGTCCTATTCTTACACAATTCAGTTAACTAAAGATACTCAAGTTCATTGATCAAAAATGCGAAAGGTCTAGAGCTACACTGAATATCCAGTAACCACTAATCATGAGTGGATGGATATTGCGCACTCAGAATGTAGGTAGTCCAGATGGAGGGATGCTGTAGTGTGAAATGATGCATGCTGGATGTGGAAGACTTAATGCAAAGGAGTAGCTCAGTTTTCACACTGACTACATGTTGTGCTCAGTCTCGCTCAGTTGTGTCTGACCCTTTGTTGTCCCATAGATTGTAGCCTGCCAGGCTCCTCTGCCCATGGCATTTTCCAGGCAAGATTGAATGTTAAAATGACGGTATTTTAGATACATTAGATTTAAAATATATTACAAACATTAATCTCACCTCTTTCTGTATTGTTAATGTATCTACTAGAAAGCTTAATTGTACGTGTTGTTTACATTGTATTTCCATTAAACGCTGTGGCCTAGAATTGTCAGGAGGAAGGAGGGTGTTTAATGTCTTTAAGTACCCAATTGCGTTTGTCCATCATACCTCTTACTTTTTCTCTGAAGTTTACCTGTCTGTGCTTACCTTTTGCTTACTCCAGGGTCTTGACATATAAGGCTGCCAGATTTTAAAATAATCTCTAGTATAAAAACTAGGAACCCCATTTCAGAGGATGTGGAAAAAAGAACATGAACTTTGGCGAAGCTGTTAATCCAAAGTTGGTGATAAAATGGCTGTCATCAAAGCTTAGTTTTAAGAAATTAGTTGCTGTGTGAAATTAAGATACCACATAGGCTGTTGTCTTAGTTTTAAGAAATTAGATGCTGTGTGAAATTGAGATACCAACACAGGCCTTGTTTTAAAAAAAAAAAAAGGATGACAGTCAGAGCCTGAGCTACCTATATAATGAGAAAAATGTAATATGTAGGGATTTCTTTATAACCACATAAATCTTTTTTATCATCTTGAAAGGAAAGACCCAAAATCTTACTTGAAAGAAAGTATACTAAATAAAGTACAATCAGTATTTTACAGATGGTAAAATAAAGGAGTTACACATTTTTTCATTTCTGCTGGTCCTTCATATTCTGTGTGTACAAACAAGATTATTTTCTTACATATACAAGACTTTGTTGGGAACCCACTCCAGTATTCTTGCCAGGGAAATCCCATGGACAGAGGAGCCTGGTGGCTACAGTCCATGGGGTTCACAAAAAAGTCAGACACGACTTAGTTACACAAATTAACACCAAAGATATAAATGGGAAATGACTGTGAATCTTTTTGAAACAAGTAGAAAAAAAAATTCCTAATTCCTCATGAAGAAATAACAGGAAATAAGAAATCTGAAGAACTGCTGTACAAAAAAACAAACAATACTTGTCATTTTAGTTCTGATGAGAAGTAACGGAGTCGGACTTTTTGTATTTAGTTGGAGGGAGGTAATTAACTTGCCTGAGATTACATAGAATGTTCAGACAGAGCCAAATAAGAGCCCACATCAGCTACTTACCTGCTAGAGAACTTCCAACTTTGTAATCTGATGGTTAACCAGTAGCAAAGGAGTGGTATCTATAAAACAGGTGGAAGGAATGAAAACTTTCTAATAAAAACACTTTTTTAGAAAGTTCTTATGCCTTTATATAATGGGAGAATATTTAATTTTGGCTGTAGTATTTAATTGGAGGGTAATTGTTTTACAGTGTTGTATTGGTTTCTGCCATACATCAACATGAATCAGCCATAGGTGTAGTATTTGTTTCACTACCATGAAATTTTGAAATATTTTCTTTTCATTAAAAGTTTCTAAGATTTTCTTTTTGTGTATTTAATGCTCTAACCTCTGGCTAGTACCTAGCCTTCCTGATGGCAGCATCTTGTAATGGATATCTTAGTTCAATTCTCTTTAAGACATTAAAATGAAATATTTAAAGATAATCTTTTGTTTGTTTGTTTCAGGTAGATAATCCGGTTTCTGTTTTAACACAAGAGATGAGCAAGCAGTTCTTGCAATCTAAAAATGAGGGAGACAAGTACAAAGTAAGAAGCACCAAAATAAACATATACCTACCCAAAAAACAATGCATTTATAAATTAAGCATATATACTGAACATTAATCTTGGTCATATAGTAAACATCAAGTTTTTTTTAAGCCATTATTTACAGTAATATTGTATGACTAATGTAGAAAATTAAGTAAGGTGGAAGTATAATTTTACTGATAAATCCTTGCTATAAATTTTTGGCTTTTAATTCTGAAAGAGTGAATTCTAAAACTTATATTTGTAGAAATAGAAGGGAATGAGTGACCATACATACATAATAACTTTTGAACATTAGATTATTTAGCACTCTTTAAAAAGCCAACAAAATATATGACTACTACTACACCTTGCAGTGTGACTTAAATGGTTTTGGTGTTTTCTATGCTAAAAAATTATGATGCATTGAGATCAAGGATACCAATGTTTTCTCTGTTTTCACATTTGCTTAAAGAATGGAAGAACAGTGAAAATGAGAAGAATGGTATTACCTTCACACCAGATGAGTTTTCTTTCACAAGGCTTTAATAAATTTTGCAAGTAAACGTGTATGTTTGAATATAGCAGTTTAAGTAAATTTGGAGTTTGAAATAAAATGTATTCTTTTGTGTTTGTGTTTAGTTTTCAGAGACCAAATTCTTTTTTTTTCATAGTTACATGGAAGTTTACAAACTCCTCATTATGTTTTTCTTGTTTATTTAGTTCTTTATGAAAGCAACCCAACTTGAACAAATGAAGGAAGACTATTCATACATTATGGAAACAAAGGAAAGAACCAAAGAGCAGATAAATCAAGGAGAAGAGGTTTGTAAGCACTTAATGCAGTTGTTTTTTGAAATCAGTCAAATTCTTATACCAGGTAAATGATACTGTAAAATTATACACTGATGTATCTATATGTGTACCTATATAAAAATAGTAACATTTTTGTGTGTTTTTTACCTTCAGGGTATTTATTAGCCTTTGCTTTTTTTGTTTTATAATAATGGGTATGTCCATGTCTTAATCACAGACTGGAGGACAGTGCAGTATCTAACCTACTTATCCCTTGCTGTGTGTCTAGTTGCTTCCGTAATAATGTGTCACTAATTCCCACTGGGCAGTAGTTTAAAAACTGTATTTCTTTTGATGGGAAAATAAGCAGGAGCCTCAAGCTGGTATTTAACATAATATGCATTTATAATTATAGATGACTCTTCATTACATGTGAATTAATGTAAATGTGAACATTCTTTAAGCGCCTTATGTTTCAGCTGTTTATCCAGTACTTTAAGTCCCAGCAGTTTTTCTGTGATTCTGTATCTTGTTCTTTTGTCATTTAATCAGTTTTATGCAGTCAGTTGCTTTCAACAACTTCATAGTAAGTTCTTTTGAGACAGAATTTTATTAATGATTGACCCAAGTTAAATTTATTAGATGTTACACTGACCTTTTTACTTCAAATTTTTGAGGAATACATATTTAAAATTGGGTTTATAGTTATGTGGTTCACCAAGTGAAAACTGAAAAAGTCAAGATGAGTATATTTATTTTTATTCCTACATTATTGCTTCAAACCTGAGGTATGTGATACTGTGTGCAAGGAGGTGCTATAAGCCATAGAATTGATTTAGCACATGTTCTTTGAATATCAGTGTTATTACTGGGGAAAGGAAATGGATAGTCAGACAAATATGCATAGTATATATTAACATCTATTATTTTAAAAACAATAAATCAGGACTTTGAAGAAATTTGTTTGCTTTAAATAACTTGATGTTTAAATACCCACTTTTCTTCACGGTATACTTTGTCGTCAGAAATTGAAAATAATTTGTTTATGAAGTTTTAAGAATTATGTCCCTGTATCATGTAGCTGAGTTTCTTATGTATAATATGCACTTTGTAAGAAGTTTTTTTCTGACTAATTAAATGTACTAGATTCTCGAAATAAACCCTGGATCAGCCTTTAAGTAGAATGTGACCTAATGCAACATTGTAAATCAACTATACTTCAATAAAAATTAAAAAAAAAAAAGCAATCAGGAAAGGATTCAGTGGGAGATACAAATAAAAATAAGTCATAGAAAAGAAATAGAACATGAAGATTAGAAACTGGAAGTCATTCAGCCATCAAATACCGAGTTCCACCGCATGCCTTCCAGCATTGTGCTTTGTCCGCGGCCATATAATGGTAAATACATAACAAGATTCTTGAGGTCATGTACCTAACTATGCAGCATAAAGCACATGGTAAATAACTGAGTATGGTGAGTGCTCCTAGAGGAGTTAAAGATTAGTTTTAATAGGTTACTTGCAACAGGGGGCAAGTCAGGGGCAGTGGGAGGGGCGTAGTTATTAAGTAAGTAATGCCTCAGGTAGAAAGTGAACGGTGAGTAATAACAGACAAAGGATGGTGAGAGTGAGGAATTGTGTTCCAGGAGATGAGCACAGATGGAGTTTTGGGCAAGAGAGCATGTGGTGTTTTTAAAAAGCTGAAGGAATTCTACGTTGTCTAGAGTGAAGAACACAAGAATGAGAGTTAAAAGGCTAGGTTGTGGAAGAGCTTTGAAACTTAAAGGCAGTACAACACATGGAAGTGGATGGCTTGATTGAATATATATTTTCAGTAGATCACTCTGCTACAGAAGAGAGTGAACTGCTCTAAGGAGAGAATATACATAGGTCAATAAAGAAGGTATTATTGTCCAAACAGATGATGACGATAAGGTAAGTTAGAGTAGTGGCCATGGTAATATGGAAAAGAGCTTTGAAATGGTCTGGGCTAATGTTACATGGAGCATGGAGGGTAGTGATGAAAACAAAAGCCAGATTTGTGGGGCTGAAAAGCAGGTAGAATGGAGGAGCTGGAGGTAATTTTCATGAAACTTAGATGTAAAGGGGAAACCACTTTTAGAGAAAAAGGTGGTGCCTTGGGGTGAATATTGCTGGGTTTGTTTGTAAATGGAAAAGATAAAGATTTAAATGTGATCCTGGAAAGGAGTCAATGAAAAGGAATAAGTGGGAAAAAGGTGAAAAGATGGGATAAAGACTCAACTAATTTAGACCTCCTGAGAAGGCAGATGAGGAAAACAATGGAAACAGTGAGAGACTTTATTTTTTGGACTCCAGAATCACTGCAGATGGTGACGGCAACCAAGAAATTAAAAGATGCTTGCTCCTTGGAAGAAAAACTATGACCAACCTAGACAGCATATTAAAAAGCAGAGACATTACTTTGCCAACAAAGTTCTGTCTAGTCAAAGCTATGGTTTTTCCAGTAGTCATGTATGGATGTGAGAGTTGGACTATAAAGAAAGCTGAGTGCTGAAGAATTGATGCTTTTGAACTGTGGTGTTGGAGAAGACTCGTGAGAGTCCCTTGGACTGCAAGGAGATCCAACCAGTCCATCCTAAAGGAGATCAGTCCTGGATGTTCATTGGAAGGACTGATGCTAAAGCTGAAACTCCAATCCTTTGGCCACCTGATGTGAAGAACCAACTCATTTGAAAAGACCCTGATGCTGGGAAAGATTGAAGGCAGGAGGAGAAGGGGACAACAGAGGATGAGATGGTTGGATGGCATCACCAACATGATGAACATGAGTTTGAGTAGGCTCCGGGAGTTGGTGATGGACAGGGAGGCCTGACGTGGTGCTGTCCATGGGGTCACAAAGAGTCAGACACGACTGAGCGACTGAACTGAACTGAGAAGGCAGAAGAGGGGGTGGTCAGGATCCAAATAAGAGGTGGGGACTGGGCTTCCTTTTTAGCTGGAGGAAAAGACTGCTTTTCAGTTTACATATCAGGTTGTTGAAAGCTGTAAGAACTCGCTTTCTGCAGCTTCTGGATTCTGTGAAAATAGGCATCAAGGAGGAGTGAGAGATTAGGGTGGTAGGTGTATGAGGTCTGAGGAGAGTGATAATGGATTGAAATAATCCTGAAGAATGGGAAAGTGACTTGGGTAGAGAAACACCCAAGATCCACAGGAAGTCCCTATTTGAACACAGAAACTGAATGGAGAGGAGAGACTCTCTAGTCAGGTGTGCAGCTTTAGAAGCTGTTCATATACCACTGTAGTTAGTTTTTGCTTGATAATTTTATTGATTAATTATTGAGAGAAAACTTAGATGAGAAAAAATATAACATTTGATTTTTAGAAATAAATTCCTTTTGACCTTTCCAGTAGCATTAAAATGGATCTAGTGGTATACTTCACCCAGTCTGTCTCTCAGATAGGGAATTGAGAGAAAATGAGAAAACTGAGTTTTTGTGTGACCTTGTGAAACATTTATTCCTTCATTCTTCTTCATTTGAAGACTAGCCATTTTTAGAGTGCAGAAATTAACGAAACTATTGCATGTAGTATACATATACCAAAGAAATGAAAATATTTTTATTTCTGCTCTAATTAAAGAAGTAATTGCCTAGCAGATCTTTTTCAGTACTTGTTTAGGCAATGCGTTCAAAAGAAATATATTGGCAGAAAGTCCGTCTTTTCAGTGTTAGTAAGAAATACATTCTTTTTTTTTTTTAAAGCGACTTAGTGAACTAAAGCGCCAGTGTTTGGAGAAAGAAGAACGTTTTCAAAATATTGCTGGCTTAAGTACAATGAAGACCAACCTGGAATACCTGAAACATGAAATGGCTTGGGCAGTGGTAATTTCACCTAATTACTTATTCACATATATTTGTAATATGCAGAATATACTTGGTTATAGTTAGTCTTATATGTGATTTGCTGTATAATTTCTTTTTAGGTCAATGAAATTGAAAAGCAATTGAATGCTATCAGAGATAACATCAAAATTGGAGAAGATCGTGCTGCTAGACTTGAGAGGAAAACAGAAGAGCAGCAGGTGATTCCACTTTTTTCTGCGGAGGTAGAAGTTGGTTGAGTGGTAAATAAAGGAGTGATTTTCTGTTGAGGGTCCACATGGACCTTTGGACCATGAACAGACCCACTTTTATATTTACCTTTCCATTCTCTCCTCTTTTTAAAAGTTATGTTTACACAATTCTGGAGGGTTTTTTTGCTTGTTTATTTATTTGACTGCACTGGGTCTTAGTTGTGGCGCCCAGGATCTTCGTCGCGCCGTGTGGGATCTTTTCCGCGCAGCACGCGGACTCTCTCGTTGTGGCACCCAGGCTCAGTAGTGTGGCGCACAGGCTTAGCTGTTCGTGACATGTGGGATCTTAGTTCCCTGACCAGGGATTGAACTTGTGTCCCATGAATTGCAAGGCAGATTCTTTCCCACTGGCCACCAGGAAAGTCCCTTTCCATTCTCTTTTAACAGCTTTACTGAGATATAGTTCATATACTGTACAGTCCACCCATTTAAAATTTACAGTTCAGTGGGTTTTTTTTTTTTTTTTTTTTTTATGTTCACAAGGTTTTATAGCGACCCCTGTGGAATCCTCTGCTGTCTTGCCAGAGATAGATCTAACCTTGCTTTATAGGCGCTCCCATGTACTCAGGGTGACTGACTTACATATCACTGTTTGGCTCTACTTAGCTTATGAACTTCCAGCTGCCAGGCTTGGGTTGTACTACAGCTTGCTTTTTCCTGTCTACCCCTAAGATAAGCAGATAAGTGTTTTTCCTTTTAAGAGCTATAGCATTAATCCATGAAAGGTAATAGAGGAATGTGTAAAAGTAACAGAAATGGTGAAGGCAGTACATTTACTTAGTGATCTCTGGGCTGAATTTCTTATTCCTCTTCAGTCAGTGAATGGAAATTCAACCTCACCCACCTCTCTCACTTTACTTTTTTTCATTTCTGAGAGAATATTCTGAAATTTTCACTCAGTTTTTCTCAGCTTCGTTTCATAGCTTGTCATTGGGGAAGACCTTGTTGGTTTCCTCTTTAGATATTTTCCCAGTCTAAAAGTGAAATCAGTTTTAGTAATAAATGCTCAGTGTTTTTTCAAATGAAGAATGGAGAATCTTGAGTCTGGGTGATACTTAGTTCTGTAGGTATTTGCTCTACTTGAGTATTTAAGTATTATACTGTGTAGTAAGTGGTACATTTCAGGAGAGTATGGATTGTCTTAATTTATATTTATATTCTTCCCACCATGTCTTACATAAAAACCTTTTGTATAGTATATACTTGTTTATAGACTATATCATAATTATTGAAGAGAAGGCTTCTGAAAAAATAGTATCTAAAGCAGACTTTAAATTTGTACTCACCTAATTTAAAACTGAAAATAGATGGATTTTGTTTAGTTTGTATAACACCTGAACCAACTTCAATTATTATGAAAAACATACATATTGTACTGCTGATATCTTCATAATAAAAATACAGTTATTCTATATAATGTTTCCTAAATGTCTTACATAGTGACAATCCCTAATCTATATCTCCTATTCATACTTTTATCCTGAGCACTTAATTCAAATATGTGTCTTCCCATCTTTACCTGCATGTTCCAGACACTTCAAACTTAGCATGTTTAGTTGAATAGCTATAACAGATACTTTATAGCCCACAAAGCCTGAAGGATATACTGTCTGGCTCTTTCTAGAAAAAATTTGCTACTTTCTAATCTGAAACATTTTGATTACTCTTTTAAGTTTCAGCTTAAATGCTGCTTTGAAAGCATTCCTGACTTTTTCTGACAGACCTGTAAATTCTTCCTGTGTGCTTTCACTATTATAAATATACATACCCTACTGAAGCATTATTGCATCCAAACTGTATAATCCTCTTGCATGGTTGTTTCTCTGCTAAATTGTATGTCTCCCTTTACATTTACTAAATGTGAATTTAAAATTAAAATATGTTTTAGAATATTAGAGAAATGCAAATCAAAACTATGACGTATCACCTCATGCTGGTCAGATTGGCCATCGTCAGAAAATCTACAAATAATAAGTGGTGGAAGAAGGTGTGGAGAAAAGGGAACCCCCCTGTTAACACTGTTGACAGGAATATAGATTCTTTCAGCCACTTGGAAGACAGTGAAGTTTCTTAAAAAACCAAAGATAGAGTTGCCATATGATCTAGGAATCCTACTCCTAGGCATATATCCAGAGAAGACAGATGCACCCCAGTATTCATAGTGCTGTTTATAATAGCCAAAATATGCAAGCAACCTAAGTGTTTATCAACAGGTGAATGGATAAAGAAGTGGTATGTATATACAGTGGAATATTACTCAGGCATAAAAAAGAATGAGATACTGCCATTTGCAGCAACATGGATGGACCTAGAGAATATCATACTGTAAGTGAACTAAGATAGACAAATGTTATATGATATCACTTATGTGTGGAATCTTAAAAAAAGAAGCAATACAAATGAACTTAATTTACAAAACAGAAACACCTCATAGATATAGAAGACATAGAAAACAAATTTATGATTATCAGAGGGGCAAAGGAGGGGCAAAAGTAAATTATGACTGTGAGATTAACATATACATACTATATAAAATAGATAAGCAAGAAGGACTTACTATGTAGCATGTATGTGTGTGCTCACTCAGTTATGTCCGACGCAAGAATACTGGAGCATTTCTATTGCCATCTCATACTTCAGGGGCTCTTCCCAACACAGGGATCAAACCTGTGTCTGTTATACCTCCTGCCTTGGCGGGAAGATTGATTATTGCTGGGCCACCTGGGAAGCCCACTGTATAGCATAAGGAACCTATATTTAATATCTTGTAATAACCTATAGTGGAAAAAACTTGAGAATGAATATGTATATGTATATTTGAATCACTTTAGTGTACACCTAAAACTAATGCAATATTGTAAATCAACTATACTTCAATAAAAATATATATGTTTTTTGGCATTTTATATAGGTTATCTAATTACTGTCTCGAGTTTAGTTAAAGCAAAATTAAGTTTATTTGAAATGTGAACCATATATAATTATTTTTTTAATTTTTCTGTTTATTGAAGAAAAATAAAATGTATCCCAACAATGTTAATTTTCTTAAAGGTCAGACTTAATGAAGCAGAAAAAAAATACAAAGACATTCAAGATAAACTAGAAAAGATTAGTCAAGAGACAAACGCACGAGCTCCAGAATGTATGGCACTGAAAGCAGATCTTACTTCTAAGAAAAGGGCCTATAATGAAGCTGAGGTGAGAGAAAAACTTTCACATCAAACGTAAACACTGCTCCTCTGTCCATGGAATTCTCCAAGCAAGATTAGTGGAGTGGGTAGCCATTCCCTTCTCCAGGGGATCTTCCCAACCCAGAGATTGAACCTGAGTCTCCTGCATTCCAGGTGAACTCTTTACTGAGCCACCAGGGAAGCCCATTAAAAACTTCATCATATCAAATATCAATACTGTTCGTTTATTTTTAAAAGTAGAGGTTTTGTAGATATGTTGATTTTGGGCTTTAAAAAATGTTACGATTTCATGTGGCCACATATGTACTTCGTTTTAAGTATATATTTCTGTGTATATTCAATCTTTGATTTGACCATTTGGCAAAAGTGGACTTGAACAGGGTATTTGTTTTTTCATTTTACTAAAGTGTGTCTGATTTTTTGTTAGGTTTTGTATAATCGTTCCCTAAATGAGTATAAAGCATTAAAGAAAGATGATGAGCAGCTTTGCAAAAGAATTGAAGAACTGAGAAAAAGGTAAGATAGTTACTTTGCAATTTTCATTTTTACCTCGTTTTGTAATAAAGTAATCCAAGTGAAATGGAGTGTTTTATTTTCTGTTTTTTTAAATTTTTTATTTCGTATTGGGGTATAGTCAATTCGGGTTTCCTGGTGGCTCAGACAGTAAAGAATCTGCCTGCAGTGTAGGAGACCTGGGTTTGATCCCCTGTTCAGGAAGATCCCCTGGAGAGGGGTTCGGCTACCTACTCCAGTATTCTTGCCTGGAGAACTCTATGGACAGAGGAGCCTGATGGGCTACAGTCCGTGGGGCCACAGAGTCGGACACAACTGAGCAACTTGACGCGCACACATAGATAGACACATGGTGCATTAACAGTTGTGATAGTTTCATGTGAGCAGTAAAGGGACTCAACCATACGTATACATGTATGGCTTTCCTCCCTAAACTCCCCTCTCACCCAGGCTACCACATGACATTGAGCAGAGTTCCCATGTACTGTCCAGTAGGTCCTGGTTGGTTATCAATTTTAAATATAACAATGTGTACATGTCCTTCCCAAACTCCCTGTTTCTTCCCCCCAGCAGCCGTAAGTTTTCTGTACTACTGCTGGAGGAATTTTATTACATTGCTTTATGTTTTTTAAAATGTTAGATTTTTAACTTAACATTTCCACTTTGGATTATTTACTCTTAGTGCCGATCAGTCTTTGGAACCTGAACGGTTGGAAAGGCAAAAAAAAATATCTTGGTTAAAAGAGAGAGTAAAGGCCTTACAAGATCAAGAAAGTTCAGTCAATCAAGAGATTGAACAATTTCAGCAAGCCATAGAAAAAGACAAAGAAGAACATACCAGGATTAAGTAAGTGTCCACATCCTTGTGTTTTTTCAGTTATTTGAAAATCATGTAATTTTCTTCTTTATGAAAATAAAATACTTGATTTTTATTTTGTTCTTCCTCATAATAAAGTATCTTTCAAAATCACTTTCCTAATAAAACTTCCTAATTAAACTTGTAGAATTGGACAATTTCTGGGTTTTCTTGTTTTCGTCACTTGCATTATTGTTATTTTCACGCTAAGTTTTGAGGTCTTCTAACTTTTTTCTTGGTAACACAATTGTTTTCAAATAAAGAATCTGCTTTTAGTTCTTAGGGTAGCTGTGTCATTTATTGGTATGCAGGTATTAGGGGAAAAGTCCAGATATTTCTGTATAACCTGTTAATGTACCTATTCTGTTTTTCCACGTGTATTTTTTAGGAGAGAAGAGTTAGATGTGAAGACTACACTGAACTTTAACCAGAGGCAACTGAAAGAATTGAAAGATAGTAAAACCAATCGACTCAAAAGATTTGGCCCTCACGTTCCAGCTCTTCTTGAAGCCATAGATGATGCCTACAGACGGGGGCACTTTACCTATAAACCTGTAGGCCCATTAGGTATTTGTCACCAGTTAGTCAGGATATCATAAAAATTAGAAGTATATTTTTATTTTCAGGAAGGAGTCTGTTGAATATTATTTACCATGTAGTTACGTGTAGACTGTACACATTCTAAGAAATAATGATAAAATCACTTCAAGCTTTGTAACTTTCCTCTTATATCTTTTAAGCACAAAAAGAATCAAAAAAGAACTTAGGAAAAGGAAAAGTAGCTATAGAGTTAATCTGGTTCTGATTTTTTTCCTGAATGAATAAATCAGTGAACTAATTTGCATGTAATTGATTAGTAGAAAGTTTCTGTTTAGGTTGGACAACATTATTTTTGAGTTCTCTTTCAAGTATAAATCTGGAGTCATTTAACTATCCTCATATGTACGTGAGAAAAAAAATCAATTGAGGGACTTGCCTGTTGGTCCAGCGGTTAAGACTTTACCTTCCAGTACAGGGCTGTGGGTTCAGTCCCTGGGTGGGGAACTAAGATCACACATAAATCATGGCCAAAAAACCAAAACATGAAATAGAAGTAATGTTGTAATAAACTCAATAAAAATTTTAAAAATAGTCCACATCAAAAAAATCTTTATTAAAAAATACATTGAAAAAAAATACATTGAGTTTTGAGGAGTTATATTTAATTCTGTACATCATTAGGTGAAAATGATTGTATAGATACATTTTTAGTACAGTATTATATACTGCATTAAGTATTGTAGTAATCTCTCTTCATTTAAATGATATGTGTGTACCTCTATACCAGGATCCATTTCAATAAGTGAGGTATTTTTTTCCCTCTCTAAATCTAAAATTTCACTATTAATCAGTTTTGCATTAAATAGTAGCGTCTATAACCCTTTTGGCTTGGTTTTCAAAACCATTCAGAGGCTGAATTAGTATACACAAAGGAAAAACACTGTTGATTTACATTAGAGCAAGACAGCTTTTCATAGGATTCTGTGCTTCTTCCCCAGTGTATCCAGTGGGATGAGGGTATTTCCCATTTGATTAAAATAAGATCTGTAATATCATTTAAATTGCTTAGTATGAAAATATTTTAAAATCATCTATGAACTATTATACAAAGATAATAGTTTCCCTGGTGGCTCAGTTGGTAAAGAGTCTGCCTGCCATGTGGGAGACCCGGGTTCAGTCCCTGGGTTGGGAAGATCCCCTGGAGAAGGAAATGACAACCCACTTCAGTATTCTTACCTGGAGAATTACATGGACAGAGAAGCCTGGCAGTCTACAATCCATGGGGTCACAAAGAGTTGGACATGACTGAGTGACTATCACTTCATACAAAGATAGTTACATTAATATTTCAAGTGTTTAATGGGCATTTTAATAACTTTCTCTCATTTTTAGGAGCTTGCATTCATCTTCGGGACCCTGAGCTTGCTTTGGCTATTGAATCTTGCTTAAAAGGACTTCTGCAAGCCTACTGTTGCCATAACCATGCCGATGAAAGAGTGCTTCAGGCACTGATGAAAAAGTTTTATTCACCAGGGACCTCACGGCCACAGATAATAGTTTCTGAGTTTCGGAATGAGATGTATGATGTAAGACACAGGTAAGGCATCAGTAATTGTTTAAAAACTGTTCTGGTTTTGTTTAGTCATGTACTAGCTCAGAAAGAATTAGAACATTTTTAATGTTAACCATGTCTACACTACTGATCTGTAAAAATTCCATCAGCTACATCTTTAATTTGAATCTAGGCATTGGAGATACATAGTTCGATAAATGATAGATACTCCCTGGCTTTGAGGTCCTTACACGAGGTCTGTTGTGGGAGACATACCAGGATATAGACCTTGTGTGACTTAGAAATTGTACTGAAGAGGGAAGTGGTGCATACCTGTCCATGTTAAAAAGGAGTGTGTACGGCAGAGCTGTGGCACTTATTGTTCACAGTTCAACTCGAGGTGGTTTACAGAGTCCATAAAGAGCTGTGGTTGTTTTCTTTGATCTTTGATTGTTTTCTTTGACCCTAACAAACCTCAAGGGTACCATACCCAAACTGGCCTCTTTGTTAGTTGCTAGCTAGCTAACAATTTACTCTTTTACACACACACACACACGTATATATGATATATATATAAGGTGTATCTTCCTACATATATATATATTCCTCTGTATATATTTTTTCCTATTACTAGATTACATTTTTAAATTTTTTGTCCTCTCCCACTCCATTTTTTTCTTATGAATCCAATTTTTTCTTCTTTCAATTAAGTCTTCTTATATTTGGAGACATGAAAAATGCCCTTGTTTTTAAGCATGTTTTTTCCATATTTAATTTGATTGTGGTATTTTTCCTTTTATTAGGCTTTAGCAATCATGTTTTATTAAGATTTCTTCTAAGCTTAATTAGGATTATCAAAGCATTTTGTCCTGTAATTGCTCCTACCACTGAGGCTTGTCGTGCTTGCCTGGAATTTGATGTGTGGTTTTTCCTTTGTCCCCTTCCTCTTTAGGCGTCTCCATTTTGTTGTTGCGTGAGCCTGTTTCGTACTTGTCCTTTCCTTGTCTCATGAGTGACCTGTTATTGCTACTATTCCTTCCTACTTCTGGTTCTCCTATACTGGTTTTACCACATGTCAGCAGGCAACTGATTGTGATATAAATTAAATACGAAGTACATCCCAGGGCAGTAGAACTCAAGGAAGGGGTGGCTGTGACTGAGAGCTTCGGAGCTGGTAGGAGCAGGCCCATCCAGCAATGGCACATGCCTCCTTGAAGGTACTTGCTCCTCCCCAGCATAGAGCCTGTGCTCTCAGTGGACTGGCCAAAGTCTATGCTTTACTGCAGTCCCCTTCCACATCCCCTCCCTCTCAGACTCCTGCTCCCCACCCTCTCTCCCCTCCTTCCTTGCGTTATTTCACTGACAATGTATGACATTTCTACAGCGCCCACACCCTGTTCTATCTTTGTTTTTACTTCCGCTTGAGCTCTGTCCTAAGGTTGCTCTCCTGTTTCTGTGCCTCATTTTACAGGAAAGACTCCTCAGAAGAGTTGTCTCTGTCACGCATTTCTGTCTTCCTCTTCTTTCTTGAACCTTACCAGTCAAGCTTGTAGAACTTCATCACATCCCAGAACAGCTCTTGTCTAGGCACCAGCGAGCCTTGCTTGGCTTGGTCCTGGAGTCCTTCCTTCCTACTCACTGGCTTGACCTATCAGCAGTATTTGCCGAAGTGTGTTCTCATCCTCTTCAGGCCTCACTGCGACCTCTTGAGCTTCTGTGATCTGTCCTCTTGCCTTCTGTCCTGTCCTAGTGTCTAGACACACTTGCCACACTGCTTGTCCGCTGCATACCAACCTCCTGGCTTCTCCAACAACCGTTTTCAGGGTCTTTGCAAATGCTGCTCCTTTGGCATGAAATGCTCTTCAGGGTGCTAATGTGACTCCCATCTCCTTAGGTGTCTCCTCATTGTTATCCTAATAAGGCTTTTCCTGACCTTTTCTGTGTGAAAAAGTACTTTTTCTCACTTTTCTCTCTCCCTTAAATAGACTGTAAGATTTATGGGGAGAAGGATATATAGTCTGTTTTGTTCCTATCTCCTCATCCTCTGAACAGCATTTGGCACATAGTAGGTGCTCAGAAAGTACATTTTGAATTTATAACTAAGTGGAAAACATACACACACACACACACACACACACAGATATTTCGTTTTGGAATTCTATAGCTAAGCATTATGAATGCCATTGCCATTTCCCCATGTCTTTTAATTAATTGACTTTTATGTTTGTGTGGTAGCAGTGTAGGACTTAAGGAAATTGTAATAATTAGTTACAGTGGGCAATAGAATATAATGATTAAGAATCTGGGTTCTAGAGCTGAGCTGCCTGGTTTAAATCCTAGCCTGACTTCTAAGTTAGCTTTAGGACATCAGGGAACTTGCTAAACTCTCTGAAGCTTCCTCACTTGAAAAAAAAGTAGAATAATATTACCTATCTCATATAGTTGTTCTGAGAATTAAATAAGCCAGCACGGGGTCAGTCGTCCTTTGGTATCCACAGGGCATTGATTGCAGCGCCCTCTGTTGGCACCAGAATCTGCAGATGCTCGTGTCCCATAGTCAGCCCTCTGTAGCCACAGTTCCTGATTCAGACAAGCATGGATACTGCAGGACCTCCTGTATTCATTGAAAAAGAATCCACGTATAAGTGGGCACGTGCAGTTCAAACCTGTGTTGTTCAAGGATCAGCTGTACTTAGAATATACTTAGAACAGTGCCTAGTATTATATGAATATTTGCTAATAAGATAAAATTAAGCCTATTACAGATGTTTGCAAATGTCTTCGATGTCTTGTTATTATCCATCATCTCCTCAACCTATTTAAAATATGTACCTAATATATATAATATTAAATTTGGGTAAGTTATTCCTTATATATTTTTGTCTCTTAGAGCTGCATATCATCCAGAGTTCCCAACAGTTCTGACAGCATTAGAAATAGATAATGCAGTTGTTGCAAATAGCCTGATTGACATGAGAAGCATAGAGACAGTGCTGCTAATCAAAGTAAGTCCAGATGCTTCCTGTGTTTTATATTATTTTTAAATTTCCTAAACTTAAATTGGTTAGATCAGTTCAATTCAGTTCAGTTGCTCAATCATATCTGACTCTCTGTGACCCCATGAACATCAGCACACCAGGCCTGCCTGTCCATCACCAACTCCCAGAGTCCACCCAAACCCATGTCCATTGAGTCGGTGATGCCATCCAACCATGTCATCCTCTGTCATCCCCTTTTCCTGCCCTCAATCTTTTCCAGCATCAGGGTCTTTTCAAATGAGTCAGCTTTTCGCATCAGCTGACCAAGGTATTGGAGTTTGAGTTTCAACATCAGTCCTTCCAATGAACACCCAGGACTGATCTCCTTTAGGATGGACTGGTTGGATCTCCTTGCAGTCCAAGGGACTCTCAAGAGTCTTCTCCAACACCACAGTTCAAAAGCATCAATTCTTTGGTGCTCAGCTTTCTTCATAGTCCAACTCTCACATCCATACATGACCACTGGAGAAACCATAGCCTTGACTAAACAGACCTTGATGACAAAGTAATGTCTCTGCTTTTTGATATGCTGTCTAGGTTGGGCATAACTTTCCTTCCAAGGAATAAGCGTCTTTTAATTTCATGGCTGCAATAAACCTAATCCACCTTACTTCCTCTAGGAAGTAAAATATTAAATATTTCCAGGTTTTCCCTACATAATTCAGTGTACTAATCTTTTCTTGGAATTTGCTCTTTGCTCATCTTTTCTAGGGTGTAAAAGACATTTAGAAAAAAGTAAGATTTCATTTTTCTATGAAAAATAAGATTTCTAAGGTAAATATGTGAAAAGGTACTTAAGATTTTTTATTTTAATGGATAGCAGTATTAGAATTTAGAAATAATAAATATGTCAGTTTGTCATAGAACATCGTTTCCTATGTTTTTAAGACTTAGTTTAATTCTTTGAATCTTGAAAGCTATTTTTTAAATTCTGTTTATCTTCATGGAATTATTTCATTTGAATGTTTAAACAAAAATACTTGAATCTTAAACTAGTGATAGGTAACATTTTGAAATTATATACAGTGGAAATGCTGTGGCATATTTTAAAAATGTATTTTCCCTCTTTTTTTTAAGAATAATTCTGTAGCTCGTGCAGTGATGCAATCCCAAAAGCCACCCAAGAATTGTAGAGAAGCTTTTACTGCTGATGGTGATCAAGTTTTTGCAGGGCGTTATTATTCGTCTGAATATACAAGACCTAAGTTTCTAAGCAGAGATGTGGATTCTGAAATAAGGTTGGTATGCAATGTAGCTTTATTGTATTATTCCCACCCTTTTTGATTTATTCATTTTTGGCTGTGCTGGTTCTTCTTTGCTACACGTAGGCTTTCTGTAGTTGTGGCAAGAGAGCTACTTTCTAGCTGAGGGTGTGTGGGCTTCTCATTGCAGTGGCTTCTTTTGTTGCAGAGCACGGCTCTATGGCATATGGGCTTCAGTAGTTGTGGTCCACGAGCTTAGTTGCTCCACAGAAGGCGGGATCTTCCCAGATCAGGGATCAAAAACCGTGCATTGGCAGGTGGACTCTACCACTGAGCCATCAGGGAAGCCTCTGAACTTTGTTGTTTTTTTATTTTTTTAAACTGTTTCTCACATTAATGAACTTTATTGATTGAAAATACAATCTTATGTTCTCGCTTCGGCAGCACATATACTAAAATTGAAAATACAATGTTATTATGATACTTTGACCTAAACAAGTATAGTAGTTGTCTGATATTTGGAAGTTTAAAAAAAATTCACTGGTGTTTTTTAAATACAGAAAAACATAAAGTAAAACAAAAGTATAATATAAAATATTATATAAAATATAAAGAAAAATAAATATAAATTAATAAATATATATATATATATATATAAAAATATAAAGAAAAACAAAAGTAACTCATAATCTGATTTCCTGACAGTCCCTATTGACATTTTAAAAATAATTAAAAGTAACATATGCACATGGTGAGAAAATTCAAACAGTCCAGAAATGTATGCATTGAAAAGTGAAGCTCTTTGCCTCCATCTCTCTTTCAAAAGTAAGGTAATAGTTTAACAGTTTCTTACGTATGTTTCCAGAATGGTTTATATACTTGTACTTTCTTATATTTATTTCCAGAACGGTTTGAAATTGAGATATAATTCAAGGGTACAATTGAGAGATTTTCGTGCAGCCGTGACTTTTGTCTCATTCCCAAGCATTTTTGTCACACCAGAAGGAAGACTCCTGCCGTGAGCAGTTGTTCCCACATTCCTCCTCAGCCTCAGCCTCTGGCAACCACTGCTCTTTTTGGATTTGTCTTTATGGATTAGTTTACTCTGGATACTTCATATAAATGCAGTCATATAAAATGCATCCATTTGTGTCCAGCTTCTTCCACTTAGCCTAATGTTTCAAAGCTCATCCATTTGTGCTGTATATAAGTATGCATGTGGTTTCTATGTCTTACTTTTTGTCTCTCAGTATTATATCTTGGGCAGGGCTTCCCTGGTAGCTCAGTGGTAAAGAATCTGCCTGCAGTGCAGGAGACAGGGTTTTAATCCCTAGGTTGGGAAGATCCCCTGGAGTCAGAAATGGCAACCCACTCCAGTATTCTTTCCTGGGAAATCCCATTGACAGAGGAGCCTGGCGCGCTATAGTCCATGGGGTTGCAAAAGAGTCAGACGTGACTTAGTGACTAAACAACAACAATTATATCTTGGAGATTGTTCCATATCAGCACGTGTAAAGCTGCCCTGTGATATATGCTTGACCAGTTCCTGTTGATGGACAGAGACACTGTCTGCGGTTTTCTCTTACTATAGCAGCACTGCAGTGAGAATGCACATGTGTGTCTTGGCATACTTTTGAAAGTATGTGCATAGCTTAAATTCTAAATAGTGAAAATGCTGAGTCAAAGGATATGTGGATTTTAAAATAATTTAATAGTCATTGTCATTGTTTTATTAACATACAGTTTATGGCCCAGTTTTAAATATTTAATAGCATTAAATACTATTATTTTTAGTACTTAATAATGTTAAGTGAGCCTTAACATTTGTTAAAAGAAATAATTTAATATTTAAAATTTCTTTGATTTGCATAAATTGATCACTTAATAGCAGTTGCCAAATGACTACAGAATGATTGATTTCCCTAATGCCCTCTCATACTGTGAATATATGAAGAGTGCTTCTCTGTGCCCCCGTCAACTCAGCACTGGTAGATTCCCATTGATGAAAGATTGCCCTGAAAGAGATCTTGTGTCTGGCCCTGTTTTTACCAGAAATATACAAGTACTCTCCTCCTCCTCTCATTTTCTCATTTGTTTATCATTCAGTCAACATTTACTGATTGTTTTTTTAATTTTGAAAGTTCTACAAGGTAGCATGGCTATAATAATAGTACATCAGATTTTAAATGCCCTGTTATTTTATATACGAGTATAAAAGAAAAATATTGCTAGTTGAACCACGGAATGGAAGATGATTTTAGAATTCAGAGATGTTAAACTGTGGGAAAATATGCTCTTAATGAAATCTGGCATACACTCTTTATCAGAGAAGAGCTCTTCTTAACTGCGCAGGTGGTTCTCTTCCACCGGGCACACGGTTTTGGACAACAGGTACTTGGGTCAGTGAGGCAGGAAAAAAGATCACTTCTGAAGGCAGGTGCCTCTGCTGGTGTGGAGACCCTTCTGGCTTTAGTGTCTGCTGACCTTATCCTCTACCTCTTTTCGTTGTGCTCCTCTCTTCCCCTTTCTCTCCCCACACGTTCATAGTGTTTATTCACCACCACAAATGTGGGAATCTGTTTCTCACTTCGTGTATTTCTTTGTCTTCTCCTCCAGCTGCTGCAGCTGGTGAAAACTTCAGAGAACACGCAGCAGTTGTATCTTCTCCCAGACTTGCTCTTACGCTCTCATAGTACTGTGGACATGCAGTGCAGTGTCCCATTCCCATTTCAGTGTTACTGTTTATTTCCTGACGTTTGGGCTTTTTGTTTAACTTCTTCATGCCTTAATTCTTTTTATACCTCTGCTATCACTGTGCACAGTGTCTGTCACAGGTAGATCATAAGTACTTCTTAATGAAATAAGTAAAATTTAATTCCAGTGTAAAAAATGTTTTTTGAAATCTCCATGTTTCCATGTTGTGAATTACTTGTTAGGAATAGAGAACTCGTTTAACTGCATAAGGTTTAGCAAAACTCTGTTACAAGTAAGGCTTTCTTTGTAAAGATCTAAATATTTGTAATATTCAGAAGTAGGTATAAAGTATTTTTTTACCCTCTCTTTTATATTAAGTGACTTGGAGAATGAAGTTGAAAATAAGAAAGCCCAGATATTAAGTCTTCAGCAACATCTCTCTACCCTTGAAAAGGATATTAAAGGCAATGAAGAACTTCTCAGAAGGTACCAACTGCATTATAAAGAGTTAAAGGTAAGAAAAACATCATTTTGTTTTCTCAGCTTAATCATTTGCAAGTTATTTTTAAGGTCTTACCATGGATTTAGTTAGATGAGTAGTTCTCAGATTTTTTGCCCTCAAACCCCTTTATAGTCTTAAAAGAGCCCTCATCTGTGTAGGTATTATCAGTATTCCTATTATTAAAAATTAAAACAAAATTTAAGAATGTTTATTAACTAATTTAAAAATAATAAGTATATTATGTATTAACATAAATAACATTTTTATGACAATTAGCTAGTTTCCAAAGCCAGAAAGATTTAGTAAAAAGATTGACATTTTTGATATTTTTCTAAATCTCTGATATTTGGCATAATAAAATTCACCTAAACTGTCATGTCAGCTTCTATAATCAGTCTGCTGCAGTATTGCATGTTATAGTTATAAACCTCCTGTACACTTACAAGAAATCGATAGTGAAAGTGATCTAAAAAAAATAATGGCTTAATGTTTTTATGAAAATAGTTTTTACCTAATGGACCCTTTGAATGAGTCTCTGAGACTCCCAGGAGATACTGGGATTGGATTTTAAGAACAATTGGGATAATCTTTCTAGCACTTTAGACTGGATGTTGCAAGAAAACACTGTCTCTGTGGACTCAACACTGTCATACTGTCTTCATTTTAAATGCTAAAATGGAATACTTCTATCTGCTTTGTATGAGAGTTGATCAGCAATAATGGTGATCGATACAGACTTTATATATAATTTTCTTTGGTTCTTTTAAAACTAATGTGTCTTTAACTGTGGAATCCTTCTGTAATATAAACCAGAGTAGAATTTTATTGATTAATACATCATTTCCAGGGTTTTTGTTTCCATTTTTCTTTTATTTTTATGTTACTAAAATCTAAATACCTTTTTTTTCAAAAGATGAAAATAAGGAAAAGTATTTCTGAAATTCGGGAACTTGAGAATATAGAAGAACACCAGTCTGTAGATATTGCAACCTTGGTAAGATTCTTTTCCTCAACTTAAATATAATGTAAAAGACAAAACTATTACTTAGGTTAAGAGAATCTAGTCTCAGATTTTTAAAAATAACCTTTTTGAGGCTACTTTTTATAATTGCTAACTCCATTTACAAATAAGTTAGAAACTTCCTGGTGTATGGCCTTTTAAGTTCCTTAATATTTTGTACGTATAACTTCCATGTATTGTAATTGGTTTTGTCTTCTACATGTAATAAAACTTTGTCAGAGCTTGTTTATCTGAGCAGTAACTGTTCAAACTACCTAGCATAGTATTTTTCACAATTAATCAGTACCAGTATTAGTGATATCATTTAGTCAGTTGCAGTTGGTCTCTTTGAACTGTTTTCCTTTTTCCAAGTTTAATGGTTTTTATTTACCACATATTTGTTCTCTTAGGCATCTTTTTATGACATTCAGCTTAATTCCCCAAGTTATGATAAGCAGTGAATTAAATAGATAGCAGAGTCTTGTTAAAATGAATCAGTATTTACCTGATTCATTCAGAGTAAATCAGTGTTTACTCTCTACCAGGCATCGTGTTAAATGCTGAGGGACACAACAGTAAACAAAATAGATCAAGTCACTGCGCTGATGGAGCTTTCCTACGATAAGAGTTCGTCTCCAGTTTGTGTTAGTAATTTGGTTTTCCCCCTAATGTTTTTCTGCTTTCATTCCTATTGTTGATAGACTCAGTTTCTTAAAGGTGTATGTATTATTTATTTTTGTTCAGTCAGCATCTGATACATTGCCTGGCATAAGGTATGTATTTATATATACTATATTTTGAAAGAAAAAGTAAGTAATAGAATAAAAGTTATCCCCTTTGATTATGACCTCAAGCACAATAAAATAGTTTGTCTTCTAAATGTAATCCTTTTCTAATTTTTAACCTATATTCTTCTACCTTCTAATTTACCAGTAAGAGTATGAAAATATCATAATGTTCTTTGTATTTGTCTTTAATCTGGTTTTCTTGTAGCCTATAGTTTCTCCTTTTCCAGAATTGTATTGTTTTCCTCTTGGATAACTTAAGTATTTGAATTAATTCTATATGCTCTGTAAATATTGCCAGGAAGATGAAGCTCAAGAAAATAAAATCAAGATGAAAATGGTTGAGAAAAATATGGAACAACAAAAAGAAAATATGGAACATCTTAAAAGCCTGAAAATAGAAGCAGAAAACAAATATGATGCAATTAAACAGAAAATTAATCAGCTCTCAGAGCTAGCAGATCCACTTAAGGTATATATTGTTATTCTAATGTATATATATATATATATTTTTTTTTTAATTTATTTTTCAGTTTTATATCTGCAGTATACCTGCTAGAAGGTCTTTCCTGGTAACTCGCTGGTAAAGAATCTGCCAGCAATGCAGGAAACCCCAGTTCGATTCCTGGGTTGGGAAGATCCACTGGAGAAGGGAGAGGCTACCCACTCCAGTATTCCTGGGCTTCCCTGGTGGCTCAGCTGGTAAAGAATCTGCCTGCAATGTGGGAGACCTGGGTTCAATCCCTAGATTGGGAAAATCCCTTGGAGAAGGGAAAGGCTACCCACTCCAGTAATCTGGCCTGGAGAATTCCATTGATTGTATAGTCTGTGGAGTTGCAGGGGGTGGGAAAGAGTCAGACACAAATGAGCGACTTTCACTTTCACACCTGCTAGATAATATTCTAACAGAATTTATGACTAAATGTAAATAAAGCTGTATAAAATTGGGATGTACAGCAACTTTTCATAATTAGATCAATCAGAAGGAAATGGCAACCCACTCCAGTATTCTTGCCTGGAGAATCCCATGGACAGAGGAGCCTGGTAGGCTACAGTCCACCAGGTCGCAAAGAGTCAGACATGACTGAGCGACTTCACTTTGATTTTCACACCTTTACAGAAAATAAATTGCCAAATTATTCTCCCTCCCCAAGAAGGTTATAGCTTTTGTTTCCTGTTTATTTTGTGGGATATTTTTGTCTTTTAGAGTCAGAGACAGGGATGTTTATCTGTCTATTCTGTCTCTGTGCTTATCTGTTCTCTTGTCCTACCTCTCGTCAATAACTCTAGGGTTCAGTTCAGTTCAGTTGCTCAGTTGTGTCCGACTCTTTGTGACCCCACAGACTGCCGCATACCAGGCTTCCCTGTCCATCACCAACTCACAGAGCTTACTCAAACTCATGTCCATCGAGTCAGTGATGCCATCCAACCATCTCATCCTCTGTTGTCCCCTTCTCCTCCTGCCTTCAGTCTTTCTCAGAATCTGGGTCTTTTCCAATGAATGAGTTCTTCGCATCAGGTGGCCCAAGTATTGGAAAGTATCAGCTTCAGCATCAGTCCTTCCAATGAATATTCAGGACTGATTTCCTTTAGGGTGGACTGGTTGGATCTCCTTGCTGTCCAAGAGACTCAAGTCTTCTCCAACACAACAGTTCAAAAGCATCAGTTCTTCAGCACTCATCTTTTTTTATAGTCCAACTCTCACATCCATACATGACTACTGGAAAAGCCATAGCTTTGACTAGATGGACCTTTGTTGGTAAAGTAATGTCTCTGCTTTTTAATATGCTATCTAGGTTGGTCATAACTTCTCTTCAGAAGGAAATGGAGTAAGCGTCTTTTAATTTCATGGCTGCAATCACCATCTGCAGTGATTTTGGAGCCCCCAGAATTAAAGTCTGTCACTGTTTCCATTGTTTCCCCATCTATTTTTCATGATGTGATGGGACTGGATGCCATGATCTTAGTTTTCTAAATGTTGGGTTTTAAGCCAACTTTTCCCTTTCCTCTTTCACTTTCATCAAGAGGCTCTTTAGTTTCTTTACTTTCTGCCATAAGGGTGGTGTCATCTGCATATCTGAGGTTATTGATATTTCTCCCAGCAATCTTGATTCCAGCTTGTGCTTCATCCAGCCCAGCATTTCTCATAATGTACTCTGCATATAAGTTAAATAAGTAGGGTGTCAGTATACAGCCTTGACATATTCCTTTCCCGATTTGGAACCAGTCTGTTATTCCATGTCCAGTTCTAACTGTTGTTTCTTGACCTGCATACAGATTTCTCAGGAGGCAGGTCAGCTGGTCTGGTATTCCCATCTCTTTAAGAATTTTCCACAGTTTGTTGTGATCCACACAGTCAAAGGATTTGGCATAGTTAATAAAGCAGAAATAGATGTTTTTGTGGAACTCTCTTGCTTTTTCGATAATCCAGTGGATGTTGACAATTTGATCATTGCCAAGGAGTTTAATCTTTGAACTCTAGGATTAGTTCATGTAAAGGTCAGCTTGAAAAAAAGTGCTTCCCACTTCCTACTTACTAACATATCTGCATTATATTCCAGCCAGAATTCAGTTGGCTTTTTTTGTTTGAAGACACATGCTTTTTGAAACCAAATTAGGGAAATAAAGTTTATTATCAGCAGCTTATTATCATTCTAATTGAACAGCTCAATTATTCTCAAAACTTTAGATTTTATTTATAAGACACAGAAGAATCAGTAGTATGTCTTAAGAGGAAAGAGGTATGTTGATGATATAACCTCTTTTTTGCAGGAAAATTATCTTCTTTGACTCAAAATGTATTTAAATATTTTAAAAGTTTAAAAGAATTTGCACGCATATGTGCTTTACTATAATTGTCTCCACTGACAGTTTTAGAAAGTGTAATTTATTAAAGAGGGTTAGAGGAGAAGCTGAATAGAAACAACTTTTCCCTGTTTGTGGTGACCTCTATATTGTTGCTTTCCATAGAGCTGTGATTTCTGGCTGCCTTGGTAATGCATGTTGGTTTTGTTTTTTTCTATTTGAGTTAAGAGTTTAAAAAAATTTTAATGTTGTGTGGAAGGAAAACATATTAAGGATACTATTGAAAAAGACAAATAGCAAGTAGTTACTACAGGAAATTAGAATTAAAAAGACAAAAAGTCCAAGATAAATAAAGAAGACAAAATTAATTTTTAAAAGAAAATAGAATAAGAGAAAATAAAATAAGTATGAAAATTGTCAAGAATGGGAGAGACCGATTTCAAAACTCAGGGATTAGAGAAGTGAAGTTAAAACAAAGATGAGATCAAAGAAAATTTTAAACAGTGAAGGATTGAGCAGGGCAACTAAAATCGAAATGATAATTTATGCTAAAATAATATAGAAAAAGAAATAATTAGCACCTGAATTACCCCATGGACTGTAGCCTGCCAGGCTCCTCTATCCATAGAATTTTCCGGGCAAGATTACTGGAGTGGGTTGCCATTTCCTCCTCCACGGGATCATCCCCACCCAGGGATCAAACCCACGTCTCCTACACTGGCAGGCAGATTCTTTAGCACTGCACCACCTGGGAAGCCCTGAATTATCCCAGATAACTTAAGCTGTGTTCTGTTCTTTTAGGGACCTGTAAGCTAAAGCAGCTCCTAGAATTGGAAGTCCACAGATAAGTTCAGTAGCAGAATATACATGCAGAAAGCAGTAAGAATTCTTGATCGTAGCTCTTTGCCTTGGTTGCCAATAAGTGAACCCTTCAGTAAACCTGCACACAGTAGTCGAGAGTCCAGTAGTCAAGAGGGTTTTTCTTTAGTGTCATATCCCACTAGCCATCAATAACAGGACCAAGAAGAGTTGGCTAACAAAGGAATTTAATTCCTCATAAGCTGTCATAATGTATTAGCAGCTTCTAGATAATCTGTTTTCTGTTAGGACATTTGTTCATTTTGTGTCAGAGGAGTGGCGAGAGGGTGGAACATGCTGTTCAAATATGTAGTCATTGAAATCCTGGCATAGGGAATATTTTTCTCACTTTGAACAGTTTATTTTGATTTATACTGCAAGCTTAATGCTTTAGTTACATATTAAATTTTTTGTATAGGGAGCATGATCTACATTAAGAATCATGGTCTGCATTATTAGAGTAGGAGGGCTTCTTGGTTTCTGATAAGAGATAATGAATATTTATTTCTATTGAGATTGACTATGCTTTTGAAAATTCCAAGATCTAATGATTGATAGCTTTCTAAAACCTCATAATTGATGTAATTATAGGAAGCAAGTGGTTATAATACATACTATAGTAATTTATCCAATGTTGTCAGCTAACTAAAATTTGTTGTTTAGACATCAAGGAGAATAAAATTTTTCAATGATTCTGTCCCTTCTAGCATCTCAGCCTATTTTTCTTTTTTTTTAAAGGCTGAACTTTCTTAAAGGTTAGAAGCTCTACAGACGTAGGGCTACATCAGAATTTAGTTCTAGATCTAACCCATCCTAGCCCTCACCCCAAAACAAGATGAGTGTCACTTAAGTGAATTTAATATCTTTAGGTCTCTGTTTCACCATCATCAAAACGAAATGAAAGGAAATACTCTCTTGGTTCCTTTTTAAAATTTTTAAATTTGTTGGTACCTGGGATATAATTTTATTAAATATTTGAAGACAAACCAAAAGCCACAATAAGAGAAAGAACCTTAAGTTCTTTTTATTCTGTTTTATAAGTCAAGTTTTTCCCTTTCTAAAGTTGCTCAGAAAAAAATTAACCAGCACAGATCCATCCTGATATAACTGACCACTTTGGCTCCGTAAAGCTGATTTGATCCCCTAAAGCAAACATGGACATAATTTGAAAGTTTCTACCAAAAATGATTAGAAAATTTAGTGTTGGCAACAATTCTGTTTCGTAAGCCATTCCAATTCCCAACTGCAATATCTCCTATTATGAAAATTATACCCGTTTTCTTTTATTTTCTTCAAAGTAAAGGAGCAGCTTATCTCTATCCTCCATATAATTTTTGATTTTTAATAGACCAGTGTTATAAAAACTGTATATTATTGTCTACCTTAAGTGGTAGTTATTTTTAGCAGTGTGAATGAATACCTTGCAGAAAATTGTATTCTTAGGTCAGGAAGTAGCCTATATCTACTTTTCTATATGAGGTATAAATAACTTGGAATTTTTAGATACATCACGTGTTCTTTTTCTTTTCAGGATATCTGTAAATCTTCTGTCTTCCTTGATGCTGTTGTTTTGGTTTGTGTTTGTTTCTTTTTCTGTATGATTCCTGAAGGTAAACATCATCATCATAGTATATATGTCCAGTGTTAGTGGTTCAGTTGTGTACGACTCTTCGTGACCCCATGGAGTGTAGCCCACCAGGCTCATCTGTCCATGGAATTCTCTAGGCAAGAATACTAGACTAGGCTCAAAAAATAGACAAACTCGGCAAAATTTAATTTGGTGATTCTTAAATCAAGAGCCGTTTTAAAAATCGAGGTGTAGAGATTCTCAGCCTACTAAAATAAAATCTCCAGAGGTGGAGTTTGGAAATCTATATTTTTTTAAGACATCAAAATTGATGATAAAGAAGGCAGTCTGTATATCAGTATTTAAGAAAGCTGCCATAATTTATGGCTTTGCACATATATCATCTCTAAATACTAATAAAATCTTTTCGCCTGCCTCTACCTCCTTCAAAGAAATTTGTATATTGTATATACTCTAATGGAAGACAGATTCCCATAACAATGGAAAATTCCAATAACAGAAGAAAATGTGTTTTGGGCATCATTCATGTATAAAATTATCAGGCAAAATAATCAAAATGTGTCCTTGACATTCAGTCTATTAATTTAATTATACATGAACATCACAGAATCACATATACGTTTAACATTTAGAAATACTGCTTTGTTTCCATTTACATTTCATGAATTAATTTCTTTAACCTCTCTCGTGTCTTCAGCATTGGCATCTTTATTGTGGTTAGAGCTATATTTTGAGTAATAAGAATAGTTGAGTGAAGCATTTTTCCAGCACTCACAGAAGGATATGAACTCTTAACACTGGCCTCTTCAAGCAGTATAATCCTGTCCACTTTATTACTTGTCAATTTATACCTAGGCTGATAATTTTTTAAAACAATCTTTTCCTTATAGATTATTTTGGTCTTATTTAAACAGGATGAATTAAACCTTGCAGATTCTGAAGTGGATAACCAAAAACGAGGGAAACGGCATTATGAAGACAAGCAGAAAGAACACTTGGATACTTTAAATAAAAAGAAACGAGAACTAGATATGAAAGAAAAAGAGCTAGAGGTTATCCTTGATTTTTTAAAACATTTTGTTTACAACCTTAGTCATGATTATTAAAATGCGTTTTCCTATTTCTAAACAGAGACAAGTTGTCTGATGGATATCTGTTTTCTTTGGAGTAATAGCTGTTTCAGTGAATCAACAGAGGGAAAGACTTAGGGACTCTCAAAGCGTGGCGACTTCATAGACCAACACGAAGAGTACTTTAGGCAGGACTGCCACAGCCCCTTATCGTGCCTCCAAGTGGTTTGGAAAGCGGCACTTCCTGCTCTGAAACAGTTCCTTAAATGCCCACCTTGGCAAGTGCATAGCAGCTTTATTTCAGAAAGACTCCCCTGCCTCTGAGTTAACTTGGGAATGAATTGGGCTGCAGTCCAGTCCTCCTTACTAATAACCCTGGTTGACGGTGGAGAGCGGAAGCCCTATTTTTAGAGGAAACTAAGTTGAAGGCAACCATGGTTTAACCTAAAAGAGATGGATTCCAGCTTTGTTTTTACATGTCCTAGGAAAATGGTTTCAACTCTGAAACCCATTGCCTTATTTGTTTAAGACTTAATATATGAATGTCATGAATGGAAGTACTATGTGTGTGCTTTGGGTTTTTAATATTTTACAAACACAAGGGTCTTTATGTTTTCAGTACCATTTGATATTTAGAATCCATCCTAAAACTCACAGAAAGCTTATGTCTGACCTCAGCATCTGGGGTGCCAAACCTTCATAACTTCTAATTGAAATTTGTTTTACTAGGAGGTTATGGAGCTCCTCTAAATCGTTAAAGTTGTGTACACTAATGCAATTTTCTTTTGAAAATTTATGATGACTCTGAACTGAACTGTATTCTTAGTATAAAGCTTAGAAAAATAACATTGATATTAAGTGTAATTAAAATACATTTCTTAAATGTAAGTTCAGAATTCTACTTGGCATATTTTGGTACAAATAGTACAGTGAATTGTTGTATCAGAGACGTTTTAAAGTTAAACGTCTGTTATTTTAGGAGAAAATGTCACAAGCAAGACAAATCTGTCCAGAGCGGATAGAAGTAAAAAAATCTGCCTCAATTCTAGACAAAGAAATTAATAGATTAAGACAGAAGATACAGGCAGAACATGCTAGTTATGGAGATCGAGAGGAAATAATGAAGTAAGTGCTTACTTTTCTACTTTATGACATTATCCATATATGTTAGTAAAACAAAAGATAGTTATATAAAATCTTAAGTTTGGGTAAAGTGTTTCTATGGCATATGGTTACAGCTTAACTAGCCTTTCATACATGTAATATTAGCAATAAATAAATTTTTTCTTTGGAATTATTATAGAACTTATTAAATATATTTGAGATTTTATTTTATGTTTCATTGAATGGCATTTATTTGCTTAATTTTTTTTTTTTTCATAAAATAGGCAGTATCAAGAGGCAAGAGAAAGCTATCTTGATTTGGATAGCAAAGTAAAAACTTTAAAAAGGTTTATTAAATTACTGGAAGAAATAATGATCCATAGATATAAAACATATCAACAATTTAGAAGGTAAGTGCATTAAAAAATATTACCACATATTATGCATTTTTATTTTTTCTTTGTTTTCAATTCTCCCCTATAAACAATAAAATTATATTAGAAGAACTTTCATGATTCAATTAGAAAAGATGTAGTAGTGCTTGGGACCCTATAATTTAATCAGAGAATTCTAGATTTGAAGGGACTTTTATAAATGAGCTTTTTTAACTTAAACTCCATTAGATGTACCTTACTGGATAACTCATAGATGGCTGTTCAGTCTCTGCTTAAATGGGCCATTTGGAAGCTTATTGGCTCTAAAACAGACCATTTCAGTCTTAGTGCATGTTCTAATGAGAGACAATTTTTTATGGGCTTTTTATGGGCCCTGTTGAGGCAGGTTCTCAGTTGATTACCCTGATCTCCTAGAACCACATAGCTCCTTGGATACAGAATCTCTGTTTTGTTCATAGATATATCCCCAGTGCCTATTGTGGTGCCTGAAATGTAGTAGAAAAGTGATGTATATTGTTTGAATAAATGAGTACAGGGTCAGCGACACTGAATCTCATTAGTATACCCAGAAATGTGCAGATTGTCAGGGATCAATTAACCCCAGCTAAAATCAAAAACAACAGAAATAAACCGGAGGACAGTTGATAGGTAGACTTGGCTCTTGATATATTTGAATCCTAGGCAGCCCTAGTCTTTCCACCTAACCTATTTTCCCCATGGCATCCCCTCAGGAGCATGTTTTTTAACTCTATTTATACCAAGAACTATTAGAGAAGGAAATAGCAACCCACTCCTGTACTCTTGCCTGGAAAATTCCATGGTCTTGGGATCCTGGTGGGCTGCAGTCCACGGGGTTGTGAAGAGTTGGAGGCAACTGAGCATGCCTCCCCATACCAAGAGCTATAGTCTTAAGACTATAGAATTTTTTAAATTTTTGTAAATTTTAAGTTCCCCTAGTATCAGTTCAGTTCAGTCGCTCAGTTGTGTCTGATTCTTTGCGACCCCATGAACTGCAGCATGCCAGGCCTCCCTGTCCCATCACCAACTCCCAAAGTTTACCCAAACTCATGTCCATTGAGTCGGTGATGCCATCCAGCCATCTCATCCTCTGTCATCCCCTTCTTCTGCCCTCAACCTTTCCCAGCATCAGGGTCTTTTCAAATGAGTCAGCTCTTCACATCAGCTGGCCAAAGTATTGGAGTTTCAGCTTCTAACATCAGTCCTTCCATTGAACACCCAGGACTTTATCTCCTTTAGGATGGACTGGTTGGATCTCATTACAGTCCAAGGGACTCTCAAGAGTCTTCTCCAACACCACAGTTCAAAAGCATCAATTCTTTGGCTCTCAGCTTTCTTTATAGTCCAACTGTCACATCCATATATGACTACTGGAAAAACCATAGCCTTGACTAGATGGACCTTTGTTGTCAAAGTAATGTCTCTGCTTTTTAATATGCTGTCTAGGTTAGTCATAACTTTCCTTCCAAGGAGTAAGCGTCTTTTAATTTCATGGCTGCAATCACCGTCTGCAGTGAGGGGAAATTCAAATAAAGCCATAATGAGAAATAGACTTTGTGTGTTTGGCCATATTCCTTAACTAAACAATAGGTTAGTTTTTGAAATGTGTGTTTCAGTTTTATGTGCATGTTATTAGGATTTGATTTAAAGAGTTTCTGATTTTACCCTTTTGAGGCAGCTTTTAAGTTTTGTTAGGTAGGACCAGAGTAGTCTTCGATCAAGGACAATTTTTTTTTCTTACCTGTGAAGCCGTGTCCTTCTGCGTCCTCTGTTGATGCACTATGAGTTTACTCCACTCGTGCCTGTGGGAATGTGAACTGTTCCTGACTCTGGGTGACCTCAGGGGTTGTTTCTGCTTCTTTTGGGTGTTTCTTTTGCCAACCTCAGGCAGTATCCCCACACCGCCACTGATAAGAAGGGTGCTTAGCCTGAGGATCTCCCAGCCCCTCTGTGGTTCTCTAGAGCTCTCTCAGTGCAGTTCTCTCTTCCCCACTCTGCTTGTTGAACCGGAAAGCCTGGGCCTCCCCAGACTCCTTAACAGGGCTTCTGGGCACTGCCTGGGTTTTCACTGCCCTTTTACTCTTGTTGTTGTTCAACTGCTATCATGTCCAACTCTTTGCAACCCCATGGATTGCAGCACACCAGGCTTCACTGTGCATCACCATCTCCCAGAGCTTGCTCAAACTCATGTCCATCGAGTTGGTGATGCCATCCAACCATCTCATCCTCTGTCATCCCCTTCTCCTTCCACCTTCAATCGTTCCCAGCATAAGGGTTGGTCTTTTCTAATGAATTGGCTCTTCGCATCAAGTGCCCAAAGTATTGGAGCTTCAACTTCAGCATCAGTGCTTCCAGTGAATATTCAGGACTGATCTCCTTTAGGATGGACTGGTTGGATCTCCTTGCAGTCCAAGGGACTCTGAAGAGTCTTCTCCAACACCACAGTTCAAAAGCATTAATTCTTTGGCACTCAGCCTTCATGGTCCAACTCTCATATCCATCCATGACTGCTGGAAAACCATAGCTTTGACTACACGGACTTTTGTCGGCAAAGTAATGTCTCTGCTTTTTGATATGCTAAGTTGGTCATGGCCTTTTTTCCAAGGAGCAGGCGTCTTTTAATCATGGCCTTTTTACTCTTAATGTGTTATTTGTGGCATCCCTACATCTTTTCCAGAAACAGTAGGATTTGTTTTCTTATTGTTATCTAGAAAATTTGTACTTAAAGTGTTTTCTGTTTAAGTATTGGTCTTATAATTTATTATCTTAATATGTTTCTTTATTACTGACAAGTTTTACATTGTTTACCTAATCTTGAGAGGACAGTAGAGATGGTTAAATTTTTTAAATTGTTTTATCTCTTTACACTGGAGAACCTTGTCACTTTATGAGGACAATCTTTTAGACATCCCGTGAGTGGACACAATTGAAAAATGCATATCAGTATTTTCAGAAGGAAAGCTAACAGAAAATTCTGAATACCAGCTGGCAATAGTTATTGTGGCAACAAAGGAAAGACTGAAGCTATCAGTATTTTCAAATGTAGGAATTTAATGCAGTTTAAGAAGGGAATTGGGAGGGAAAAGAATAAAATACAGTTATTCTAAAGAAAGGAGCCTTAAATTCTTTAGGAAAAACACTCCCCACCAAAAGGAATCAAGGCTCCTTGGAGAAGTGGTTAATAATATGGAGCTGAGCAGGGAAGGTATAGATGCCAGAAACGTAAGGAAGTGCTCCCCCAAATGTAGAGTCATGACGAAAGGATATAGGCATCTTGAAAGAGGCTCCCACTGGCAAAATGTGGGACAATTTGAGAACCAAAATAAACAAGAACAGTAATAGATGGTGGGGCTTCCTTGGTGGCTCCATCGTAAAGAATCCACCTGCCAGTGCAGGAGACTTGAGTTCCATCCCTGGATTGGGAAGATCCCCCAGAGGAGGGAATGGCAACCCACTCCAGTATTCTTGCCTGGAAAGTCCCATGAACAGAGGAGCCTGACAGGCTACAGTCTACGAGGTCACAAAAAGTTGGACACAATTTAGCAACAACAAATTAATTGTAACCCAGTGAATAAGATAGCAATCTGACTGCATCCTTATAAAAAGGGTGTAAATAAATAAATAAATGAGGAAGAAGGGAAAGGTCTTCCTGACAGCAGGATGCCGTCTGATAAATAAGTAGAGTTTGTGTTGTGTGAGGCAGTGTGTAAGGTACTGCAGATACATGACTGAGCGATTGCCCTCGCCATTTTTGCTACTATGAAGTTAGGAGGAGACAAGCTAATGAATAGGCCGTTTACCACTATCTTAACACTGCTAAAGTTTAATCATCTCAAGGGCAAGATTTATGTCTTCTGTGTTAGGGTGATATCTTGTATAAATTAGTTGACTGATACATTCATATGGACTTGCTGTAATATAATGGATTTTATTCTGTGTGGGACATTTTTATTCATCTTATAGATGTTTGTTTATTATAAAATGAAATGAATTGATAAAAATTTGGGGACATAAATGAAATATAAAGACAAAGACAAAAATCACCTAAAATTTTACTTATTTAAATAGGCACCAGTGTTAACACCCTGGCATATTTTCATCTGGTCTTACATGCTGGTTTAAAGCTCATGCTGAATCTACAGTTCTCTAACTTTGTAATCTTTTTAATGTGCCCAATGTCTTTTTTCAAGGTGTTTGACTTTACGATGTAAATTGTACTTTGACAACTTATTATCTCAGCGGGCTTATTGTGGAAAAATGAATTTTGACCATAAGAATGAAACTCTTACTATATCAGTGAGTATCTTAACTCTACAGTTAGTCATTAGGAGGATTACCTGCTTCATTTTTTTTTCTGGGGGCGGGGGGGGGGGGCTTCATTTCTTTTGATGATATGTTGATCTGTTGTCATTGGAAACAAAAGAACTTATTTTTAAGTTAAAGATGGTTTTTGCCAGAGTGTTGAAAATTAAATTAATTCTACTGACTAAAGCTGCTCTTTCCCTTCTTCCCCGCCCTGTGGACAACCAAATTATCTTCTTATGGTGATAATTAGGAATTTTGTTTTCAGCAGTAAATGTTTACCATCTCTTCTCACTCCATTGGCTCCTTTTTAAAATTCATACAACATTTTAAATTTTGTGGGACTGTCTGTAATTATTTTCAAAAGCAGTTTAACCACTAGATGTCACTAGAAATCAAGTAACAAAAGAGTATTTTGGCACTTAGAAATATTTGACAAAAAGAAACAAGACAATATGGTTAACAGCATCGAAAGCAATAAAATACCTAGGAATAAATTAACCAAAGAAGTGAAAGCTCTGTACAGTGAAAAGCATAAGACACTGATGAAAGAAATTGAAAGAGACACAAATAAATGGAAAGATAACCATTATACATGAATCAGAAGAGTTGATATTGTTAAAATGTCTATACCATCCAGAGCTGTCTATAGATTCAATGCAGTCTCTGTCTAAATTCCAAAGGCATTGTTCACAAAAAGAAAAAACAGTCATAAAATTTGAATAGAACCAGATAAAATAGTAGCTAAAGCAATCTGGAGAAGAAAAAACAGTCTGAAAGCATCACATTTCGTGATTTCAGGTTGTGTTGCAAATATATAATAACCAAAACAGTAACCAAAATAGATATATAGACCAGTGGAACTGAATTGTATGTTCTTGAATTGTATATTCTTGGCTCCTTTATCAAATATTAGTTTTCTCTATTTGCATGGGTTTATTTCAGGGCTCTCAGTTCTATTCCATTGGTCAATGCGTCTATTTTTATGCCAGTACATATGCTGTATGTATATTTGAAAGTTGCTCAGACAGTAGATCTCAAAAATTCTCACCGCTGAAAGAAAAAAGAAAAAAATGGCAACCGTGTGACTTGATGGGCATGTTCACCTTATTGTGGTGATAATCATTTTGCAATGTATATGTTTGTGTCATGTCCTAATACCTCAAAGTTACGCAATGTTAAATGTCATTTTTATCTCAATGAAACTGGGTGGAGGCCATAACGGTTTTCATTTGCTTAATATTAGTACTCTTATTAAGCTTTTAGAATTTTGGTATGTTAGACCTGGTTAAGGGGAATGTTTTCAATTAGATTTCTCATAGTAAAACAGAAGCAGCCGTTATACAGTTTATATTTTTATTTAAAATATTTTAGATGGAATAGATGTCATTTCCAAGTCACTGACTGATTTTGTTGCTCATCTTCATTGTTACTATAAATTCATCCTTTTTAAAACAGTAGCCAACCACTTCTGTAAAGAAGTTAATCTGACTTTTTTCTGCATTTTGTTTTTTGTTACCTCCTTCAAGGTTCAGCCTGGAGAGGGAAACAAAGCTGCTTTCAATGACATGCGGGCCTTATCTGGCGGTGAACGTTCTTTTTCCACGGTTTGCTTCATTCTTTCTCTGTGGTCCATCGCTGAATCTCCTTTCAGATGCCTGGATGAGTTTGATGTCTACATGGTAGTGACAACTTTTAAATTCTCTAGTTTTTCTCTTTTTTGGTGGTGGTTTGCAGTGTATATTTTGAAAGGAAACTATTCATTTGTTAGTTCTTCTCAACAGAAAAGATCCTGCTTTGACAGTTCGGTCTGTGATAAATGGTAGGGAAGAGCTAAAGAATCCCAGTTCTTTCCCTCGCTAACACACCACACTGACAGGCCTCCATCCTGGACTTGTGCTCTTTTCCCTCGTTTACTATGATAAGCAGTTCACCACCCTTGCTGTGACCTTTGCACCACTGTTGTCTCCTTCCTGTTCAGCCACACTTTTCAAAAGAACAACCTCTGTAACATGAGGAGCAAGAACAGACATCGAGGCCTGCCTCTGTCACCAGTTACCCAGGTGACTGTGGACTCGGTAGCTATTCTTTTCAGGCCTCAGTTTCTTCATCTATAAGGTAAGATCCTTAGCCTTTCCTCCCTCCTAAGGTTAGAGGGAGGCTCCAGTGAGGTCTGTCTCGCTGTGATTCAGGCACGTAGTAAGCCTCTCATTTCAGCCGTCCATCCTTCATTCCTCACTGAACCCACTGCAGTCTGGGCTGGGACTGCAGGACTGCAGCATCACTTGTTCAGCAAGGATCGTAAATGAACGTTAACTCTTTGAAGTATTTGTACCACAGCCTGAGCCTCCATCTCCTAAGGTGTGTCTTCTTACGGGCTTCCACACTCCTCTTTGTTCTCAACATGCCAGTCTGTCCCCACCACCCCGTTCACATGCCCTTAAATGTTTAAGGTCTTCTTTGTTTTTATAGTGATGTGAGTTTCCCTGGATATCATGTTCTGCCTACTCCCCCACCTGTCACACACAGTCCACAGTCTGGTACCTACATTTGCTGCTGCTGTTGCTGCTAAGTTGCTTCAGTCATGTCTGTGCGACCCCATAGACGGCAGCCCCCAGGCTCCTCTGTCCCTGGGACTCTCCAGGCAAGAATATTGGAGTGGGTTGCCACTTCCTTCTCCAATGCATGCATGCATGCTAAGTTGCTTCAGTTGTGTCCGACTCTGTGCCACCCTATGGACAGCAGCCCACCAGGCTCCTCTGTCCACAGGATTCTCCTCCATTTGGATTCCTACCAAATCTAAGCGTCTCTTCCGACATCTCTCTTGCCCCCGTGAGACCTCTAGTGAACAACCTACATCCCAAACTGAGCATGTTTGAGACTGAATTGGTTTTCCACTCAAAGCTTTTCTTTTCTTGAGTTCCTTTCCTTGATTATTGACAAATTGCCATTACCAATCCAACACTTGACTGCAACAGCAGTGATTTATCTGATTCTTCTTTCCCTGTTAGGACCTCTGTCTCCTCCTCTTCTGTAATTTCTCCCTAGCCTCTGCTCCTTCTGTCACCTCTCCTGTCCTCAGCTCTTGCTCATTGTCTTCGTTTCCTGTCCAGACTTCCAGACTTTAATCCTGTTCCTTCTCACTTTCTCCTCACCATCTTGCCAGGTCTCTGTTTCTAAACTAAATCTAATGTTGATCACTCCTTTGTTGAAAAGTCTCTGGTTTGATTCTGCAGGGTGACCGAGACCCTTTATGATACTGTATCCACCTGCTTTTTCAGCTGGGCTGAGCTGCTTGTGCTTTTCCACACTGTGCCCTTCTTCCTTTGTATGCCACACTCTGCCTCATCTCTCAAGGCTCAGTTTGGATGCCACCTCTATGCAGCCTCCGCACCATCACGCTGCAGGCAGGGTCAGGGACTTCTCAGAGCTTCCTCAGCACCTCCTTATATCAACCTATGCAGTTGTGGTATTTTTATATATGATAGTATACAATGTTCACCACATGGTGCTAGTGGCAGAGAATCTGCCTGCCAATGTAGGAGATGCTAGCCTCAGAGGTTTGGTCCCTGGGTTGGGAGGATCCCCTGCAGTAAGAAATGGCACCTCACTACAGTATTCTTGCCTGGAAATTCCATGGGCAAAAGAGCCTAGTGGACTATAGTCCATGGGATCACCAAAAATAAAACGAGACAGAACTGAGCACTACTACTATATGATATTCAGTGTATTATACACATTTTATTATCATGTTTTATATTTATCTCGCTTGCATTTTGTTGCATTCCCCTATTTTCATGTATGAATCACTCACCAAATTATTTTTTAAGTTATCAACTGTGTTTTAATTATATTTCTATCTCTTAATGCCTAATCCATAATTAGGATTTTAGAGAACGCTTATTTGCAAATCAGAATTCATATTCGCAAACCACTTCAGTGGGTTTTTTTCTATGCTGTCATTGCTGAAGATTAAGAAATTCCTTTGAGATTTGGATTCAAAGCTGATTCACAAATCATAGATGATGATTGCTCTTTCCATATAATATTTTTGTCCAAAATGCCATTATGCAGTCTTATCATGCATATTATTTTTCATATTTAATCTGAACAATTTCTTTCCTGTTCAGAAACTTAGAGGTTCTTAATCAGAATGACATTTTGCCTTGTTGAAATTATTCAGAAAAATGTACCCAAGTTCGGAGAAACCAGTCTAAAGGAAATGAATAAATACTTCTTGGTGCATTGGCAGCTTTGTTATTAAATGATAGACTTCCCTCCAGGCATTGTTTTGAAAGGACAGTATTCAGTTTGGGCAAGCCCTGGTTACTTTTGTACCTTAAGTTAGACTACAGATACACCCAATGGAAGAATTTCTAGAATAAGAGTCACTGAGCAGTGTGGCCAGGATGCTGGGCCCCTATCTGCCCTCCATAGTCCAGGTTCTAAACCACCACACTGTATGGCCGCGTGTGGTTTCATTTGCTTGTGTTTTCACATTTCCGGAGTTTTCATGGAAGGGGAGCGATAACTTTCATTTTTATCGTTTTTTATTATTTAACTCAGAAGATGTAAACACAAAGTTTAATTCATTTAGTTTCACAACCTACTACATATAAGCAGGCATTTTCCCCTATGCACTGATGTGCTATTTAACTTATTTTAAAGATTGAGTTGAGCAGTTAGTCTGTAAATTCGAACTTATTACTATTGTACAAATTGTAGAAGGTGATGAGGACAGAGTTTTTAAAACATCTTAATCATTGAGGGAAAATTTAAGAGATTTAATAAGTTTGAATCTGGTCACTTTTGATACCATTCTCCTAACTATTACTGTAGAAATTAGATTCACTTTACAACAGCTAATTTTGACTATTTTCTGATTATTTTAATTGTTAACTATATTGGAGGCAAGGAGCTATACTTAAAAAATACTTAGATTACAGAAATTCCTGAAAGATATATACATTCAGTTATTTTCCCCTAATAATTTAGATACTGGGTTTCACAGTATGTAAGAGTTGCTTGACATCATAGATAAGATAATGGATGATCCTTGGATAAAATCCAAGGGTGTGTACAACCCAAGGCTGCTTCCCCAAGAGCATAGTTGACACACCAGCAGCTCTAACTTCCGCCTCTGTTCCCCAGGATATGGTTAACCGGAGGATCGCGATGGACATGATACTCAAGATGGCAGATTCCCAGCGCTTCAGACAGTTTATCCTGCTCACCCCTCAGAGCATGAGGTAACTTAAAAATTTCTTCTATGAATATGTATATGTGTATATATGGCAAGTGTATAAAAGGAAGTAAGAAATCCTTTATATTCTTAATTTTTTAAATGCAAATGCAAAAGTGACCAATAAAAAGAAAAACAAACCCCTAAACTCATTCCAGAGATTGAAGGTAGTTTTTCCTTAGATATTTAAAATACTGTGTGCATTATCTTCCTTCCATAATAGAGGAGGTTTTATTTGAATGTGAGTATTTACTTTTTAGTATTTCAGTCTTGAATCTGCTCTTCTCTGGTTATCAGGAACCAAATAATATAAAGTAATTTTAGTAACTTACTTAGATGAAAGAAATAATTCATAGTCTCTCTAATCTTGAATCTTTTTCTGGTGACTTACAAGTCTTTCTAAATAAAGAATGCTACTTTGCTGTCAGTCAGCATTTATTAGGTACTTGCATGGTGTCAGGCTCTGTGTCACTTAAAGTTGATATTCTTTCTCTAAAGTGGTCACTTGATCATTTGGGGCTTTAAGTTTATGACAGGAAATATTCAGGTGACTCCTTCCTGACTAGATAAGAAGAGTAAGAGAGTTAGATGTGTTTTTTTTTTTTTTCAGAGAGAGAGTTAGATGTTATATAAATCTCCTTCATTTTCTTTCTCCTCCAAAATGAAAACTCATGGCATTAAGCAGGAAGTTAACTTTTGAAAATGAAAATTTATTTCCTTCTTGTAAATTATATTTCTAGAATTTCAGATATCAGACTTATATCCCCTCCCCCATTAGCAACCATTTGACTTGTATTTTCATGAGGTAGTATTAGACTTTTTTTTAATGTGAAAAAGTTTACTTGGAAATTGGAGTAATTAATTTTGCTTCCTTTAGTTCACTTCCATCAAGTAAACTGATTAGAATTCTTCGAATGTCTGATCCTGAAAGAGGACAAACTACATTGCCTTTCCGACCTGTATCTCAAGAAGAAGAAGAAGACCGGAGTTGATCTGTGACTTAATATGCCACGTCCTCATGTTGAAAGATATGTAAAGGGAAGAAACATCCAGGACTATTTGAAATAAAATGAAACAAGGTATTCTAAAATAAAAGAAACCCCTTTATGTATCTGACGTTATGTATTACAAAACATGTAAATAAGCCTAGAAGACCAGCCACAACCAGCGATTTAAAATTACAGTTATTTTACTTTGAGAAAACCCAATTTCATAGTACTGGTTTTAAATCTTTTTGTTTTTTATTTTAACCATCTACTTTTATAGATTCTTTTTCAGAAGTTTCAAATTTTGTACATATGTACATGTACATATCTGTTAAGTTTGGGTTCATTTCTATAGTATTTTGTAAGAATTAAAATAAACATTTGAGCATCTAGTTATATTTAGTTTTGCTTTTCCAGGATATTACATTATTCTCATACCAGGGAGTAGGGCAGTGCACAGGCGGGCTGTGGACAGGGACCAGCTTCCAGGAGATTTATTGTCTGTTTTGTTCATATTAATGAGGAAAGACCTACACAGGACCTTAAAAAAGTTGGTCACAACCTCCGCATAGGCCATTGTTAATCCTGGAGCTGTGACTACAGATCTGGACTATAGTTTTAATTACTGTGTTTCATCACATTTAAGATGCTATTAAGGCACTTTCTCAGAGCACTAAAGCACTGCCAACTCTGACACAGTGCCTTTCCCTCCGTCCTTGGCCATCAGCCACCCAGCTAAGTGTCCGATCCATGTCGGAACCAGGTTACAGCCCACCTGTGCACCCTGACCTGCAGTGTGCTTGCCTTCTTTAGAGTCCCTCGGTTTGCAGTCCAAAGCCTCTCGAGCTCTGGCTCAGCTGAGAGGATGCAGGTCAGAGGGACTCTGCAGATCCGGCTGAGAAGAAGGGCTGGGGAAACTACCGCAGGCAGCTCCCCCTGGAGCAGAGAAGCCACTAAAAGTCAAAGGCCTGGCTGCTGGGGGCGGGGTGGGGTGGAGCGGATGTCAGTTGTGAGACACATCCTGATTTAGAGTTGTTAAGAAGTGTGCTGCTTAGAATGATAAAATAACAGCCTGTTGTAAGCAGTGGTGTTGATGAATGCCTTTTTTTTTTTTTTTAAAGAAAACATGAGTAGAACTCCTGTTTGTATTCTCTTATGTTTGATACTAGGATTAGTGCTAACCTTTTTAAAAAGACGTGCATATCCAACAAGAATTCCCTCTATTGCTAGCAGTAAATATTTATGATATTGAAAGGAAGTATTTTAAGAACAAGGCAGTATTTTTAAAGCAGTGGCACTTCTGTAGTTACTGAAAAAAACTGGATTTTGTTTTTGGTGAGGGGAGGGAGTCAAGTTTAGTCCTAAGCTGAGATCAATTGGTAAATGAGAAGTCCAAAACTGTGCTTTTGTAATCTAAGAATTTGCAGAAAGAGGAAACGTGCTGAATGTTTTAAACATCCCCCACTACCAAGACAAAGTCTGATTTTTTTAAAGTTACATTTATAATTCATTTGTATCAAAACTATTTTAACATACATGTGCTTTTTCAAATAAAAAAAAAGTAGAATATACCAAATGCATAAACTTTTATCAACTACGCAGCTTCAGTGTCTGAGTTTTTGTGGTCATTTTTTAACGTTGTGGTTCTTAATATAGAATGGGAAAACTCAGGTATCCAGGCATCTCTTGTTGAGCTGCAGATTTTTCATTGCTCTGGCCTCACAGAGTTTTGGTTTCAACTATCATAAGTGAAAATATTTTTCAATTAATATTCTAATTAATGGTAATATTAATTAGAATAAAAATAAATTGCTTTTTTAAAATATGTGTAACTTCTAAAAATAAAACTTTATATGTATTCAAAGTCATGTTTCTGTGAATTGGGGAAGATATAATTGACAAAATCAAGCCTCTTTGTGAATAGTGACTTGAATGCCTCATAGAGATGACTCTTCCACCCCTGATTTATCATCACGGCACCTATGACTGAACCGAGTCATAAAGTCTTGGGAAACAAGGAAGAAATGCTTCCTCAGGCTTTTAAATCCTACCTTCTCAGAATTTTGGGGTGAAAGTGAAAGTTGCTCAGTTGTGTCCAACTCTGTGACGCCATGGACTATACAGTCCATGGAATTGAATTCTCCAAGCCAGAATACGAGAGTAGGTAACGTTTCCCTTCTCCAGGGGATCTTCCCAACCCAGGGATCATACCCAGGTCACCCACATTGCAGTCGGATTCCTTACCAGCTGAGCCACAAGGGAAGCCCAAGAATACTGGAGTGGGTAATCTATCCCTTCTCCAGCAGATCTTCCCAACCCAGGAATCAAACCGTGGTCTTCTGCATTACAGGTGGATTCTTTACCAACTCAGCTATGATTAAAATCATTCTCAAGTAAACCAAGATGTAAATAATAGTGTTACTCATACTGATGATCAACCCTAGAGATTCAGGGATCACATTCTTCTTAAGTATTTTCCAGATTTTCCCTTCTCCCTTCTTCCTATCACCTGGTGCCTTTTTGCATGTCTTAAGAATGTCTGGGCTGTTTTATAGGAGATCTAAATTTTTATTTGGAGTTCTGCCTAAGAAACTATTGCCTGCAACTCAAAACCTGCATCAGAATTGTTGCTGACTGTGATGAACATCAAGTGATCCAGGGTGCCTGATTAGAAAAATTCCTGAATACGAATTAGATGTGGTACAAATTATGTCCTGAGTCAATAGTTACCTGGTTAGATTTTTTTACTTTATTCATCTACATAGAGGCCTGTACTTTACATCATTCAGATTTTCAGAATAGGTTTGAAACTTGTAGCTCTGAAAGTTACTGATATTTCATGATTTTGAACTAAGTACCTGTGGGCTTGAAGGTATATCAAAATAATTTTTTGATATCTCTTTAAGGAGTTTTGTTCTTTAAAGAGTGAATATGAATTAGTTGTTTCTTTGAGTTGGCAAATGAAATTTTCTTAATTTTATATAATATCAATACCATTTGCTAGGGGCTATTTTAAGCTCTGGTAAGATTGCCGGGAGAAATATCAATAACCTCAGATATGCAGATGACACCACCCTTATGGCAGAAAGTGAAGCGGAACTAAAAAGCCTCTTGATGAAAGTGAAAGAGGAGAGTGAAAAAGTTGCCTTAAAGCTCAGCATTCAGAAAACTAAGATCATGGCATCTGGTCCCATCACTTCGTGGAAAATAGATGGGGAAACAGTGGAAACAGTGTTAGACTTAATTTTTTTAGGCTCCAAAATCATTGCAGATGGTGATTACAGCCACGAAATTAAAAGACGCTTACTCCTTGGAAGGAAAGTTATGACCAACCTAGACAGCATATTAAAAAGCAGAGACATTACTTTGACAACAAAAGTCCGTCTAGTCAAGGCTATGGTTTTTCCAGTGGTCATGTATGGATGTGAGAGTTGGACTGTGAAGAAAGCTGAGCACCAAAGAACTGATGCTTTTGAACTGTGGTGTTGGAGAAGACTCTTGAGAGTCCCTTGGACTGCAAGGAGATCCAACCAGTCCATCCTAAAGGAGACCAGTCATGGGTGTTCATTGGAAGGACTGATGTTGAAGCTGAAACTCCACTACTTTGGCCACCTCATGCGAAGAGTTGACTCATTGGGAAAGACCCTGATGCTGGGAGGGATTGGGGGCAGGAGGAGAAGGGCACAACAGAGGATGAGCTGGGTGGATGGCATCACCGACTCAATGGACATGATTTTGGGTAAACTCTGGGAGTTGGTGATGGATAGGGAGGCCTGGCGTGCTGTGATTCATAGGGTCGCAAAGAGTCAGACATGACTGAGCAATTGAACTGAACTGAATTGAATCCTACTGTAATACAAAATCTACCTTTATGGAGCTTAAAGTCTAGTTAGGGAAACAGTACCACGTGTTATTTCAGGGTATGGTCATTGCTATGAATAATAATAGGGTAAGGAGTTGAGATGGAGAAGAGAGGTGTTTTGGATGGAGTATTAGGACAAGACTTGGCAGAAGCTGATATTTAAGCAGAGGTCTGAAACAAATAAGAGAAGAGCCATGGAAAGTTGGATGTAGGGTTGACACTTTGAGGCGGAAATGAGTGCAAAGCCCTTAGTGTGAGAATGAACTTCACGTTTCGAAATCTCAAGTCTAGAACTTAGTGAGTGTAAGGAATGAAAGTGAGATGGTTTGAGGTCCTGGGCAGGTTTTCAGACCTTGTCTGGAGATCATCTTCAAAGAATCTCTCCGGCTATGAAAGGAGTTAGTTAGGAGGAGTTAGGAGTTTGGGCCAACATGTAAAGAGCAAACAATCTGGAGGCTTCTGCCATGATCCAGGTGAGAGGTCACAGGGGTGACTTGGACCAGATAATGAGGATAGAAGTATTCGGATTTGAAGTTCAGAGGCAGCAGGACTTGCTGATGAGAATACTGTTGACCCTTGAGCAACATGGGAGTTAGGGGCAGTCAAAAATCTGAGTTTATCATCAGTCTTCCACATACGCATTTCTGCCCCTGGCATCATGGTTTGGAAAGCACTTGTTTAGTCACTCGTGTACGACTGCATTGTCATGGACTGTAGCCCACCAGGTTCCTCTGTCCATGGGGTTTCCCAGGCAAGAACACTGGAGTGGGCTGCCATTTCCTTTTAGTATTTACTGTTGAAAAGATCCACCTCTAAGTGGGCCCACACAGTTCAGATCTGTACTGTTCAAGGGTCAGCTGTACTGTAGAGGTGTGAGAAGAACCAAGGATCATTGGCCGGGAGTCGGGTCTAAACACCTGGATGAGTGATGGTGTCATTCCTAGAGCTGGGGAAGATGTGGGGTGGGGGAGAAAAATGGACAGCTGGCGGGGAGACGTAGACTGGCTCTGATTTGAGCAGGCGGTGGCATTTGAGACAGTCGTTTAGTTAATTGGGTATTTGATGGGTTACTTTACGTTGGTAAATGTAAGAACTTGGGAAATGATAGCATAAGGTAAGAGTCTAGAGATCTATATTTTGCTGC